TGATCTGCAGGAGGAGGCTGATGGCACTGTGGCCATCCATGTCAGCACTGTGGTGTGTGACATGCTCTCTGGGCCATGGACACACAGCTGTATCACATTCCCTCTGCACACCCTGTGCACACACATTCCCTCCCCCTTCCAGTTTGTCTCCTCGCTGCCAGTGCAGGGTTTGCATATCCTCTCTGAGATGATGGATGTTTCAATTGTGAGAGGGGGCTCTATTCCATGCAGGCATCTGAAAGTGCTTTGCAAAAATAGCTCACACCTCACAGACAAGCAGTCTGATGTGCAGAAATAGGAAATAGCCTTACTTGCCTCAAAGGGTGTTTTAACATTCCCCACCACCACAGTATCCTCTCACAAGCACAAATGACCTTCTCCCTATTAGAGCAACCAGGAGGCCCCCATTTTCCTAAGGTCCTGGAAAGATTAAGTGACACAGGTCCAAGGTTGTGCAGGAAGTCTGGAGGGAGTGCTGGAAATAGAAGGGGGCCCTCCCGAGCCCCTCTGCAATGCCTTGACCACAGGACCATCCTTCCTCTCCCAAGGTTATGTATCAGGTCTGTGGTGGAGCCAGGAATAGCACCCAAGTTTCCTGACACACAAACTGTCCTGCACTGTGTACAAAAGAAGCACAAATATAAATTTAAATCAATTTATAAAGCTGTGCCTTGCAATTAAACCTAAGACCTCTATCTGAACCTAAAGTTTTCTATGTATTGAAAGATGTGATACTCTTAAGAAATCTCTGTCTACCACCAGGGCAGATAATACCTCCCAGCACCTAATCTCTCCTACTTCTTCTAATTTCTTGACATGTCCTGTCTGTGCCAACAATGCAAATGCCACCTGCCACAGAGACACAGGCTGGCAGAGGTGTGGGCTGAGGGGTGCCCTCTCTGGCCGCCCTGTTGAGAACTGGCCCCAGACAAGGAGGCCAAGTCCTCCAGGGCTGCCGGGGGATGGAGAGAAGGAGATGTTCCAGGTTGAATTAACAGTGCCACAGTGACAGCCTGAGGAGGGAGCCCAGGCCCCCAAAGTCCTGGCTCCAGGGGGTTGATGCCTAGGGCACAGACCTGGCTGGACCAGCCGCAGGCTTTCCTGTCCACCACCCGGAGGGCCACGCGCTGCATCAGTGCCTGCGGCTTCCCTGGGGAGAGACGGAGATGTGCTGTGTCAGGAGGTGCCACGTCTCCCTGCAGTTTGCTGGAACCTTTCCATTAATTTAATGGGCTTTGGATTGGGCCCTGAATTCCCAGCTGTCCCAGCTAAATGGACTCCCCAGGCAGGCTCTCCTCTCATTTTAGAGTGAGGAGGCCATTCAGAGACCCTGCTGACCAGGAGGTTCCTGCCATTCTTTGGCAGCAGAGCTCCCATCCTGGAGTGAGCACTGCCCCGTCACTGCCCCTTGGCCACAGTGTGCTCCACCTGCACACATGGCTCCATACTTGCATCTGCCATCCTCTCTCCCAAGCAAGACATGCTCCACTTCCACCCCCTGCCCAGATCACCCATTTTTTTACCCAGTAAGGCCCAAGTGAGGTGAGGAGAAGGGAACCAGTGCTTCACATTGCATACCTCAACCCACTCTGGTCACTGTGAGCCACTCAGGGCTGGGGGACTTGGTGATCCTGTAGAAGAAATAAATCCTGTGTGTGCCTGTAGTCCTAATCTTGCTCAAGACAGAAATAGAAGAAGCCATTGGGCTGATCTGTGTAGCTATCATTTCAGGAGGTGTTTCAGAAAGACAGGACCATTTCCTTCTTTTTGCCTATAGTTTTCTGTCACTCACCAAACTCAGCACTGCTGATAATTAGCACACTTGGACAAACTTATCTTTCCAAAGGTGTTTTATTTGTAAGCAAAGATAGGTAGATACCAATGCTGTGCTGTTACGGACATATTTTCTGAAAAATCTTTTGCTAGGATTTTTTTCTCCTGAGAAGCTGAGAAACCTCAAAAGGAAAGAAAAGAAAAGCAATAATTATCTGCTGCTGTAGAATGCAACAAGTGCATCTTTAATTAATCTCATGTAGTTGTTTTTAATTAATAACCAATCACATTCCAGCTGTCTCAGACTCTCTAGTCAGTCACAAGATTTTATTTCCATTCCTTTCCTTCCTAACTTTCTGATGAAATCCTTTCTTCTATTCTAGTACAGTTTTAGTATATCATTTTCTTTTAATATAATATATATCATAAAATAATAAATCAACCTTCTAAAACATGAAGTCAAGATTCTCATCTCTTCCCTCATCCTAAAACCCTTGCAAACACCACCACACTGTGCATTTTCACAAGAGCAGAGCTGTGTGCTTTTCCAGACCTTTACCTGACAGTAAATTGAAGTAGATCTTGCTGTAGCACTGAAGACTTGATGTTGCAGAAGTGTTGTAGTGCGTTCTTATATTTTGTAATACTTTGAAGTAGTTTGTTTTGTATCCCCATGTTTTTCCCAAATGGTCTGTACCCCCCCCCCCTCCTTTTCCCTCTACTTGTGTTATCCCTTTCCCGGGATAAGATCTCCAAAACCCCCACCCTGGCTCTCTGCCAGTCACCTCGACATCCCAGCCCCCTACCTAGAAGTTTCGGTCCAAGTTGTCGAGTGATTAGCCAGGGGCCAAGGGTCAACCCCCCAAGTCCTGCCCCATACGCTGTTTTGTATGTCTGTCCCCCCAGCACCCATCCCCCAGAGATACCTATTGGTCAGTAGGATTTTATCTATGTTAGTTTCCTCCCCCCTTTAAATGTAAGCTCCAAACGTCCCCCAGTGCTCTCGGCAGGAACCCCCTGAGGTATAGGAGCTCGCTCGGGACTCCTTAATAAAACCTTGGAATACCCCCTGCTGGGAGTCGGCCCCTTTCCTCTTCCACCGACGTCTCGGTCGTCTCTGCTGCAACGAAGGCAACCAGCCTGAGTGCCCTCAGCACCCTCGGGGCACAGAGAGTGTCTCCCCGCAGTCGGCCGTGGTGGGGTCACCCCCCCCACTCTCTGCCGACCCGGGTAAGGCCCAGGGACTGGAGAGGCTTGCAGAGAGACTGGGACACAGAAGTACTCAACCACTCTTGGCCCTCCTTTTGTCACTGCTGTTTCTACAGAAGCAGCATTAAGAAAGCCTAGCCAAGACCATGGCACTGACTGCAAAGTGAAGTACATCGTGAGAGACGAGCCTGCTCCATAAAGCTTGGGAAGAAGAGGAAATACACAGAAATAAAGTGAGTGCTTTGGCCAAATGAGCAACAAAGATAGCAACAACACCTTCCAAGGCTCACTTTTCTGTCCAATCTGTGAGATTATGTTGCACTGAGCACCTGCTGCCATACACACCATCATGCCTCATTTAATATACGATGCATTGACTGATTATTGGCAGGTTGTTATGTCACCGCTCAACTTGAAACTGCTGTTCAGACTGTCACTGACAGGCTGGTTTTCAATACCTCACGTCACTCTCCTTATGAAAACTTTCCTTTAAAGGACACTTTAGGATAGATGAAGATGATAACTTCATCAGGACACTTTGTGGGAAGTGAGCCTGTATGCCTTGTGTAAGGTTTCACTTTGCAAAAAAGCTAAGCTTATAAACAGACAAGCCTCTGCAGTCAGTGTGAGTTTTCCACTGACCTCAGACAAAAGTGGAGTTCCAGTGGTTGATGTACTTATGCACACTAAAATAAGGAGAATACATAAAGATCACTAGCTGCAATAATTGCTTAATTATATCTGCTATCCCATTCTTTGGGTTTAGGATATCATCCCCCTCCCCTGAAGTGAATGGGGACAGTAAATTGAGGATTTTCACCATCTTTGCAAAGCTGCAGAAGGCCCACAATTGAGTAAAAATGAGATTATTCCCTAGATTTTCCTTATTTTCCTGAAGTGGAAGAACCCTTTGCCTGTTTCTGAAGGGTGTCTGCAGATTAACATGCAGCACAACATGAAGGCGAGCTCTTTAGAGCAAACTAAATTGGGGAAATTGCCTGAGCATTCAGAGCCAAGCCAGGGGATGGGATCACACTGTCCCACTATGAAGGCAGCAGGCACCAGGGGCAGAGCAGAAACCAAAGACACAGCTGGTACTTCAGTAGGTGTTGTGGTCAGGGGAGTTGTGGCCACCAGTCAGTCACTGTTGTTTCCTGGAGAGGGAGGTCTGGGGAAGCTCACAGCCCATGGGAGCACATCAAGGACCTGAGCTAGGAGCCCTCCCTTGCTGGTGTGTCCCAAACTCCCCTGGACTCCAGGCAAGTGTTTGAGCTTTCACAAAATGAGAAGTTGAGTCATGACATGTCCAGGTCTGGATTGCAATGGAGTGCACTCAACTCTTGCTCTTCCTCAGGAAGTGACTCCATATGTGTTTACATAAACACACAGCTCAACATGACGGGGCAAATATTACTCAAGGTTTTGCCATTTGCCTTTGGGGTAAGACTGAGCACAGCCATGGGGTCAAAAGGTCAGAAGGTTAGGAGGGGAAAGATGGAGGGTCTACACACAAAAAGTTGTTCCCAAATCTTTGTAATAAGTCTCAGTCCTACTCAATGCCCCCATTAGTCCACACAGGCCTGTCAGATGCCTGGTTGCAAAGTTCAGTCAGTTCATCATCAGATATGGAATAAACATAGCACTCTGGTTATCATTAATAATATTTATTTTGGAAAAATATTTTAAAAATGAATTTCTTCATTAACAAAACAGTAAAAAAAATCAAATAACATTTGCACAATATTCCATAAATACATTTATATACAAAAAAATATAGTCACATAGACCCGAAGTGCCTTTGTACATATTTACCAAAAAATTTAAATTATAAAAAAATGAACATCACAAAATACTCAAGCTTTACAATTATCATGAAAATATTTTTACAGATTCAAAAAAATAACACACTTTTTCTCACCTAGTAAAAACACATTTTAGTATCAAAAAAGACAATAAAGGCAGTGTTTGTGTCTCTAATTCAAGAAAAGACTGGCTCATAATAATCCAAAATATACACTTCAGGCAGTGCATGCTTCTTATGTAGTAATTAAGTCCATTCATTTAAATATATATAGAAAAGCAACTGACCATAGTGCAATGATAAAATTCATAAAAGGCAGTGCAACAGTAATCCTTGAACACAGACCCTTGCCTGGTGTCCATCTTGTTTCTTTATTTTGCAGTCACTTTGCTAACTTCAGTAGAGAACCAGCTCAAGCCTGAATTTAGTTTCTCAGCAGCAGTCAGTGAAGGAATCTATCTCCCATTCCTCTTTCAGCAGCATTCATTGGGGCACGTCTCCTCTGAAATTGTTCTGAACAACCACCTTGCCATATGACCTCTGGTTTACACCTGGAAAGAGAAGACACAAGGAGAGATCAGGAGAGGTTAATGAAATATATGAAGAGGGCTGTAAGGCTGCAGAGGGTCAGGACTCTGCATAAAGCACACCAAGAGGTGGGTCAGCACACCTCAACCATTGTACCCTAGTCTACAAAACTTGTCAAACCCACAACATCCACAGCAGCAAGTCACTGAGCTTGTCTTTACAACATCCACAGCATCATAAACTCAAGCTGTCTGGATTTCAACATTACAAACCACTGTGTGGCATTATGGAAAGGAGTTTTTTTGCCCTGGTATGTATTGGATGGGAGCTGTGGACCAAGACTTTTCTCTGCTGTTCCAACCCTACTAACCTCAGTTGCTATGATGCACTCATCTTTCTCTTCTGATATGACATACACCGACTGGTACTTTGTGTCCTTTGAAGTGGAATATACTGAATCTGGTCGCTTTCTTTCAGAAGTATCACTATTGAAGGCAAAAAGAGAAAGAACAAGTCAGATGACTGTTGCTTAATGCTACCTATGAGATATACACTCCCCCTTCAAAGCCAAGCTGCCCCCTGCACTCAGATGTGAGATACCTCTTTAGTTGTACTGCACTTTTCTCCTCTGCCTCTGAATCATACGTTTCACACTTGGCTTCACATTTGCTGTGCTCCTCCTTAACTGAGTCCTCATTCTTGAGTTCATGCACCAAATTGTAATCCACTGATGGGTATCTGACTTTGTAGCCATTTTTATCAGAATTATCGCTGTGAAAGTCTACTTTCTTATTTGTGTTTTTAATCTGAGTGGCACCAATGACACTTATGGAAATGTCCTTCTCGCGCTGGCAGTTTGCCAGGTTATTCATAGTCTCGGTCTCACTCCTGCAGGCATCAGGCTGGTGGTGCCTCTTCTGCACTCGGAGCCTGACGCACACGACCACGGCAGCACACCCCAGCAGCAGCATGAGGACCAGAATAATCCCAGCGCAGACGGCGATCCAGGGGAACTGGGAGTTCTGGCCTTCCGTGTACTTTTCAGTGAAGTCCACGATGACGGGTCCCTGCGGCGGCTCGGGGAGCAGGAACTGGCAGTTGAGGCCGCCGTAGCCCCGGGCACACTCACACACATAGCGGTTGTTTCTTTCGTGGCAGGTGGCCCCATTGTGGCAAGGGTTGTGTTCGCATCTGCTCACCGGGGTGCTGCAGTTCTTCCCGTTGTATCCTGGGGGGCAGGTGCAGGAGTAGTCATTGATGCCATCCTGGCAGGTCCCTCCGTTGACACAGGGGAAGGAGGCACAGTCGTCCACGTTGTCATCGCAGTGCCTCCCAGTGAAGCCAGCCTGGCACTGGCAGATATAGGAGTTGCCCAGATCCACACACTGGGCTCCTGCAACACAGCAAGGGGGAAGAGCTGAGTGGTGGGCAGCCAGACACTCACTGCTCTTGGGGCAAAAGGCACAACCAGCAGCCGAGGAAAGCTTTCTTTTTGAGAGGTCAGCTTGACCTTTGACAAGTCTAATCCAACATAAAAAGCACATGTTTTTAAGAAAGATTTTTGTTAAGTAGATTTATTTTTCATTCTCAATTCTATTCCTTTTCTAACATTTCACTCAGCTTGAACCAGAACACTAGTCCAGGTCAGATTAACACCACATCTCATGTTACAGAGTTTGAGTGGCAATGAATAAGGAGGATTACAGTACAGAAAGTCTTCACTAGTATAATCAAAACAGGAAAATTACTGTTACCAGATTACAAGTAATAATGTTTAACACTTGTGTGGCATTTGCATCCACAGACCTCTAAAACCCTTTGTAAAGGATTTGAAAGTATAATCTTCCATGTTTTCATGAATGACTCTTCAGACCAAGTTACTTAGCCACAGCCACCCCATCAGAAAATGCAATCTGAAGCAATGGCCCAAGCCACACCACTGCTTTCTTAGTAGAGATCCTCCTCCATCAAGTCAACTATTGACATGACAAGGACTTTTTTACAAGAGGATATAGTGGTAGGGCAAGGGCAGAATGGCTTTAAACTGAAAGAGAGCAGGTTTAGATAAGATACTATGAAAAAATTCTGTGAGAGAACAAGTTGCCTAGAAAAGTGGTGGATATTCCATCCCTGGCAGTGTTCAAGGCCAGATTCGATGGGACTTTCAACAGCCTGGTCTAGTGAAAGGTGCCCTTGCCCACAGCAGGGGTTTGGAACTAGGTGACCTTTAAGGTCCCTTCCAACCCAGACCATTCTATGATTCTATGATTCATCAGTGTGCCTTGATCAGTGTGCCTTGTTATGAACTCCAGACCAGACGCCAAAGTACGGGTATGCTGTTTGGCCTTACCATTAGCACAAGGGCTGGAACTGCAGTAGTCGATTTTCTTTTCACAGTTGAAGCCAGAATAACCCAGTGGGCAGCGGCAGCTGTAGCCCCCGTCAGGGTTGTCGGTGCAGCGCCCACCATTGAAGCACGGCCCGTCCGCACAAGTCATGGCACTCAGCTCACAGTTCTTCCCGTAGAAGCCTGGGGGGCAGGTACAGGAATAGCTGTTCTCCAGATCCTGGGGGGAAGAAATGAGAGATTATCAAAACATTGTTGGAACTTGCTCTGAAATCCAAAAAGAGATTCTAAAAATTAGTAAAACTGACATTAACTCCTCCCTTGGAGGAATTTAACAAACAACTTACAGTGCAGCTTCCACCATTCTTGCAAGGGTTGGCATCACATTCATTGATTTCAATCTCGCAGTTGGAGCCTGTATACCCAGGTCGGCACGAACAAGTGTAGCTCCCCTGACCAGTGTTGGTGCACGTGGCACCATTCTTGCAGGGCTTGTGGTGGGTGCAGTAGTTCAGGTCTGTAAAAGATATATTTTCTTTTTTTAAAGAGATCAGCCAAGGTGCTTGCTACTTTGCAAGACTAGCAGACAGTGGGTGAGCTGAAAATAGTTGCCTGTTTTCTGCATTTTAAAACAGATGCTCAGGCAAGGACTGAGAACTCACCCTGGTTGCAGAAAAGGCCACCCCAGCCTTCCTGGCAGTTGCACTGCCATGGCTGCTGACAGGTTCCATGAAGGCAGCCTGGGTATCGGATGCACTCATCACAATATCGCCCTTGCCATCCTACTCTGCACCTGAAAAAAAAATGACAAAAAATTCTCTTCAGATTTAGACTTCTCACAGTTGGAAACCCTATCACACTCTGCAAGCACACCGATGCCAGGGATCAAGTTTCCTAAAAGCCCTCGGTGATCCCTCATGTGAGAAAGTCACCAAGTCCAACCGTAGCATCAGCTTTCATCAGACCTAGCTATATCTTCCACTTCCTTAGACAGACCCATGGTTCTGATAGTTAATTTGTTTACTCTAATAACAAAGAGCCAAACCTTACACACAGCACTGTAAACCCATTAGGTTAATATTAATGGCAGTGATGTTTGACTTATGGAATAATACTTCAATCTGGCATCAACCAGGTATTTCAAATTTCCATCTAATATGAAGAAAGGCCTTTAAACCAACCCTTCAAATGTCCAATGGCTTATTTAACACCAGGCATCAACACTGAAAGACAAAGAAGGAAGCAGGAAGGGAGTGGAAAACTTACTTGCATTCCCCTGGCTTGTCGCAAAAGCCGTGCTGCTCGTCACATCCAGGCAAACAAATCGCTGTAAACAAACCAAGCAGGGAAAGACATCAGCACTGGTGCCAAAACAACTCTCTTTTACAAGTCTGAGTCTGGGAGCACCTTGTGGGTGGGGAGTGAGTCCCTTTTACTAGGTTGGGGCAGTTAAGCGCAGCTGAATTAATCTCTGGAGTCTGAAGGAGTATTGATCTTGCCCCGTAACTGGGCACTTTACTTATCACCAGGGATGAGCATTCTTCTTAATACAGTTGCACACAGACAAAAGAGGGCTCACAATTGCTCCCTTCCCCACAGCCCCTCACCCCCCTTCCCTTCCCAGTGAGGGTCAGAAGTCCTTTTTTCCAATTCTATGCACACAGCTCCACCTCTTAATATCCCCCGAAAGTGTGTGTGCAGATAAGAGTGGACAGCTGGTGTGCAGGGTGCCAGTGCAAGACAGCTGCTCTATTGTCTATTCTCTCCCAGCAGCTGCCCCACTGCAACAATACCCCGGCCCCGGAGCCAATGGGGCCGGCGGCCGGCGACCGGGCAGCCTATCCCTGCCCACAGCTAATCTATGGCACGCGCGTGATTTCGCTGCAAAAAAACTTTTTTTTTTCTTATTCAAATAAATAAGTCTAAAGTTCTTCCTCCCTCCCTCCTTCCCCCCTCCGCCCTGCTCCGAAAAGGGGCGGGCGGGTGGGTGCAGCCCTGGTAAAAGAGGTAAGCGGGCCAGCGGGAGGGAGGATGAGAGAAGGGAAAAAAGGGACTTCTGCTCATTACTTCGCCTGGTTATGGAACTCATTAAGCAGGCACTGCAAAGTTTTAATTCAACAAAGCCAGCCGGAGACAATGGCATGCGAGGGGAAGGAGGGGGGAAGAAAAAGAAAGAAAGAATCAGTGCTGATAATCAGATCGCCTCCAAGTTGGAAAGAATGGAGCTGGGGGCAAGGCAACGGGAAGCAATCTGCAACTGGCAGCTCCACTCACTAACGGCAAAACATTCTTTTTGCATGCACACATAAACACATCTCCCCTGCCTACTAGGTTTGTGTCAGTGCTATAAGCTGGTTTTTTTTTCTGAGAGGGAAAACACAGCAAAGAACGTATGTAATGAGTCAAGAAAGATGGACAGCCTTCTGCTTCGTTGTGGGAATAGCAGAGATGTACAGGCATTCAAAAGTGCTGACAGCCTCAAAAGAGCTCATTATCAAAATGCTTCCTTTTTCCCCACCCCTTGACACAACTGGGCTAGGCACTTTTGATCATAGGAAAGGTTGTAGTTCTCATTTAAAACACTATCAAAGAAAATGTGAGCCCCTTTGCCTGCTGTTTATTGTGCAACATCGTACTGTGAACTGCTAAAAGCATCCTAGCACTCACTAACAGTGTGAATAATCAATCAGGAATGGTTTGATAGCAGCTCAGCTGAGACCACAGTGTAGGTGGGTTTAAAGAGAAACAAAAACACAACAAGAAGAAAGCTGAGAGGCTGCTTTACAGCCTGGAACTGTTTTCTTCCTGCCTGCCTGGCTCTTTGATGACTGCAGAGGAGCACTGGCCCAGTACTTCATCTGCCAGCATATTTCAGACCCGTGTATACACACAAACAGAGAATGCCATCACAGGCTGCAGCAGGGGCTCTGTGTGCACGTTTGGGTGTCCACTGCTACGGATCTACAAAGGGCGGAATCTCGTACAACCGGAAAGTATCTGACATCCTGGACTATCCTGTCTGTGATCTGCTTACTGTCCCAGCTTTTCCTGCTGTACCAACACACCACATTCCTGAAAAACTTCAAGCTCTGGGGTATGTTTCATGTCCCTCACTACTTTATTGGTATTAATTATCATGGCAATGGGACAGAAGAGAGATGAGGAATAAGTTGAATGTTCTTGTGGCCCCATGTGCAGAAATTGTTAGTGGCAGCATATGGGTAGCCCAAATGAGAAATGCACAGTCTAGAAGCCATAGAGAATGTCTTGGACTTCCCAATATTTTTCTTAATACAAGACCACAGAGGATCAGACCATAGCAAGCCTACCCACAAGGCTGTCACGTGGATGTTACCAAAGCCTAGCTCCCTCCCCTGAAGCTATGTACCCTGTAGGTGATGATATCAAAGTTGTGTGGCTGGAGGGTGGATAGGTATAAAAAGTAGTCCTGATATATTTTAATAAATCCTCAAGCAACTGCTGAACATTTTGCTTCCAGATTAAATGGTCTAAAGCAAATGAGCAAGAATGTAGTGTTGGCACTGACATTTTGTTGGCTTGAGAAGGGGCTGTCTGCATTAACTTTCTGTGGCAATGCTGAGATCTCCCATCCCTCACACTGGTAAGGCTGGGGCATGGAAGCAGACAACCATCCACCATTGCTTGGTTCTCCCTCCCCATGGAGCCTGATGTCAGAGAAACAGCCCTCCACCAACCCCAAGTGCTCAGGAGACACTGCTGCAAGGGGCACCCAAGGAGACAAGGAGGTGGACACTTACGCTCAGTGCAGTACTGGCCTTTCCAGCCCGGGTTGCAGACTTTCTCGCCACGCTCTCCACAGGTGAAGTGACCAAAGGCATCGTCCCGGGGCCGGCAGAAGACGGAGCAGCCTTCTCCGTAGTAGTGCTCGTCACACACAAAGCGATAGGAGTACTTGAGGTCGGTGCGGCCGCTGCTGTGCAGGTCCTGGGACCACTCTTCACCCACTGCCAAGTGTCTCTGGGTGGCCAGGCGGCTGATGAGGCGCTCAGGGTTTTCTGTGGGGAAGTGGAGAGGAGAGTGCTTAGAGAGCCCAAAGCAGGCAGGGCATAGGGGGGTCTCTGGTGGGAGGGGAGCTGCAGAGGCAGGATGACATGGCTGCATGCCAACAGGTTGGCCTCTGTTGCCACTGTTGCTACTGTAGAGGAGAATGTGCTACACACTGCAGAGAAAAGGGACAAAATAGGGCTGCAGGACTGGGATTATTACAGGGAAAAGTGTGTTTCAGGACACTTACCAGTGGTGAGGTCATCAGGTGAGTCCGTATGCAGAGCCTCAATGATGAGCGAGAAGGTGCCCTGTGAAAAGAAGAAGGAGACACAACCCACCAGGAGAGCATGAGAGCAGGTAGGCCCAAGGGACAGTGCCACCAGGCCCCAGAAGTTAGCAGTCATTATCCCCCTCCCATCTTCACACTTCAAGGGGATTGGTGGCCTCTTGGAATGGTAAGGGACGGGACAGGAGGGATATGTGCCGCCCCCTCCAGCATCGCCCCCCACTTACGGGCCAGGTGAAGCCGAAGGGGAAGCGGATGGGATTGCTGAAGGCGGGGTCGGCACCGCCCGCGCCGTCGGGGACGCTGAAGGAGTTGGCGCCGAGGACGGGGGTGATGGCGCTGCCGTAGGTGCAGGGCGGCTCGGGGGACACGCTGGCCTGGTAGTGCTTGAGGCAGACGCGGAAGAAGGTCTTGCAGTCGCACTGCTGGAGCCCGCCGGCGCCGGGGCCGCCCCCGCGGCAGCAATTGCGGTTGCTGAGCAGCCCCTTCTTATTGACAAACTCCTGCAGCTTCAGCTCGAAGACCCCGGAGGAGCCGACCTGCGGGGCGGGGACAGCGGCCGTCAGCCCCCGAGCAGCCCGCTCTCCAGCCCGGCCCCGGCCCCGGCGGGCACCCCCTCCCCGCTCCTCACGGCTGCAACCGGCAGCAACAGTCCCGGCATCCCCGCGGGACTGCCCGGGGCAGGGACACCCCGGGTCAGGCATTCCTGTCCCCGGCATCCCCGCGGGACTCCCCGGGGCAGGGACCCCCGGGTCAGCCATTCCTGTCCCAGGCATCCCCGCGGGACTCCCCCGGGCAGGGACCCCCGGTGCAGCCATTCCTGTCCCCGGCATCCCCGCGGGACTCCCCGGGGCAGGGACCCCGGGTCAGGCATTCAGGCATTCCTGTCCCCCACCCCGCGGGCACTTACCTGGCAGCGACTCAGCAGCATCGAGAGGACGGCGAGCGTCAGCAGGAACCGACCTCCCATTTTGGAGGTGCAGCTCTGGTGCCCTCGCTTTCCTCCCCCTTCTCGTCAGAGGGAAAAGGGGAAAGTGTCTTTCGGGATAAGGGAAAAAACACAGCGGCCAAAGCCGCTCGTCCCAGCAGAGCTGGAAGAGTTAGTGTCACGGTCTCCTTCTGTCAGGAGTGTCTCTGACTTTTTTTTCCCTTTTGCCGATACCTCTAAACTTAGCCTGTCGGCAACTGACAGCTCTTTCGGATGACAAAAGAAAAAGAGAGGAAAAGAGGACGGGGAAAAAAAATAATATTTATCTGTTAAACTCTTTTTCTTTCGCAATCCACGATGCTCCTCCTTTTCTTCAGGAAGAAAAAATAAAAATAATAAAATAAAAGCAACTTAATTCCCAACAGAGGCAGAGAAAAGGCTTCCCAAGGAAGGTTAAAAATTGGCGATCTGGAAATCCCTGCAGAGGCAGCGGCGGAGGCAGCGGCGATAATTCCCGGGGCGGTGCGATTCGGGAGCGGCTCGGCGCGGCTGCGCTCGCCCTGCGCACGTCGGGGCTGGTGGGTGTCAAACAGCAGCGGTGGCGGGCAGGTCACGTCGGAGCCTTGATCCCGTTTTTCTCTTTTTTTTTTTCTCTTTTCCTTTTTTTTTTTTTTTTTTTTTTTTTTTTTTTTTTTTTTTTGCAAAGGAAGCGAAGCTCTCTTTCCTTGTTGTGGGTTTACTTTTGTTTTTAGAAGAATCCCAGCCAACAAAAATAAGCTCTTGTCTCAACAGCAGCGAACAGAGCGTGTCCGGGTGTGCTCCTACGGGGGAGGGGGTGCCTGCTCTGCGCTGCCGCGCCTCCGCTCCGTGCCGCGGCTCGGCTCGGCTCGGCTCGGCGGCTCTCTCCGAGGGTGAAGCGCTAAGGATCTGCCTCTCCTTGGGCGCCTGCCGCCCTTATATCCCGCCGGCCGACTGCATGCCTAATGAGATGCAAATGAGCAGCCCCCCAATCTGGCTAGAGCTGTCACAAAGGAGCCACTTTTCCAAACCCTCCTCTCAATGGATCGCCAAATGGTCAGTGAGCTGTAAAATGTGCAACCCTCCTCCCCCTCCCCTTCGCGCTCACAAAACGTGTTCATTTACATTCCTGCAAATTTGGTAACCGCAAGAATCCCCCTTCTGCTCCGGCGAGAGGGTAACACCCCCTCTGCACCGGGGAGAGGCAGTGCAACACACTCCGGCCAGAGAGCAGCCCCGGGGACGGCGGGCTGTAATTGCCTCTTGGAACGTGCAGAGCAGCCGCCGTGACCCCAAAAAGTGACTCGGTGATCGTGACTACTCCAAGGGGCTTCTCCGGCGTTAAAGGGACGAGGGAGGTGGGAGCCATCGAACCACAACGAGGGGAGTCCCATACCATGAAATTCACACTGCATTTACCCTGGCGTAACCGGGGTAATTGGGGAGGAGGACAACGAACGTGGACGAAGTGACCCGGGGTTCGCTCCTCCCGAGGCTCCGCTCACGGCGCGCATCCCGCCGGCGGAGGCACGGGGGATCCCCGGGGGTCCGGCGGCGAGGGAGGACGCGGGCGGGTTGGCGGCGGGGACTCGTGGAGGGGACCCGTTTGCGGGGCTCCGCGGGTCCCGTCCCCGCCACCACCGCTGCCGGAGAGAGCCACTCGCTGCGCCCGGGTCCCGCACCCCTCTATGATTATTATCATCATCACCAGCAACCTCTCCCTCTCTCTCTCCGTCTCTCTCTCTCTCTCTCCCTCTCTCTTTTTTCGTCCTTCAGCTTAGTAAAAAGTGAGTTTGGTGTGTGTCGTTCGCGTGGCTGTCATTAAGGCCGTTTGTTATTGTGTGAGGGCTGAATCAGTTAGCTCTTTGTGCTCTCAGCTGTATGGTAATGTAGACAGCACCTGCTCCCTGCACAATGCGAGGGAGAGAAAGAGCTCCCCTCGGCGCACGCTACTGCCTCTACAACAATGTCCGCACATTTTTTAAAGAAATCCCTTCCAGCACTTCCCCCCTCCGCAACACACATACACACACACTCACATACGCGCACAAAATAAACTAGCCCAAATTTACACCAGTCGTCACCTTTATAATTTTTTTTTACGTACCCATTAGACAGTACAACTTTTGTTTTGATCCTTAAAATACGGAAATGAGTTTACTGGTGCGGTGAAAAAGGGATAGAGACTATTACCATTTGGGCAGTTTCTTAATGATGGATGGAAGCAGGGGATAAAAGTTGGAGGGCAACTCTGGCATGTCACTCGAAGCAGGGTTTTTCACTTTGTTTAGGCCCTCTGTTTAAACACCTTTGGTAGGCGCAGGCGGATTCATTAGGATGCAAGGTGTAACTGTCTCTGTAAATGTCATTTTAATTGTAACAGATCATTTCAACACAGATTAAGCTTGTGTGCGAAAGGAGAGGATTTGGCTACAATAACCTCACTGTAGGTATGCCGTGCTAAAAGCCTTATTATGGCGACTTTATTGGGTTGAAACGTGCATTTGCATGGCAAAATGTGGCTTCCATTGAAGCAGATGTCTTGATCACAAATTATCTTACAATGCGCTAGGAAAAAAAAATCTTAAAGACTTCTTAAAGTAAAAGCATTGAGTAATACCAATTAAAAGAAAATCACTAATGAGTTCATTCAGCCCAGCTCTTCTTGACTGTTCCAGGACTGTAGCTGCCCACATTCATTTACTAGGGGTTTGTGGCACCTACCCCAAACCCAGGCCACCTACTCCAACCCTTGGTACAAGCATCCAGATCTTGGCAACATTTTGCCACTCAACGTGCGTCCTTTACATCAAATTGTAGTCGAACGAGCCATCTACACCCAGGTGCTCTTCCTCTCACCTCTCCCCGCCGCTCGACGCATAAACAAAAGTTTAAAATGTACAGGAATGTTTGGGTTTGATTTTTTTATTTTTATTTTTTTTTTTTTTTACCCCGGAGTTGTGTCTGGGCAGAGTGGGGACCACGATCCCGCAGGCCTAGTGCGAGGACGTAGGGAAGGCGGCCCAGGAGGGAGAGGAGCGGATCCCCGGAGTCCCGGCCGCCCGCCCCCGCCGTGCGCGGCCTCAGCAGCGGGGAGCGGGGGGGCGCATCCCGCAGCAGCGCCGGTTTTCACTGCACATTACTTTTGCCACCTAGCGTCAACATCTTTTCAAGTGGCTTGTCGCTGCTTCGCAAACTTTGCTGCGGCGTTATCCCCGGGAAAAAGAGAGAGAGGGGGAAAACATCACTTCGTATGAGGTTTACCAAGCAAGTGGGGCGGGGGGGCGGGGGCGAGCGGCAATATCTTTCTTGAAATTTGGGTGGTGGCCCGTCGGCGGAGGCGAGAAGTGATATATCAACGCGGATCTTTTAATCTGCGAGAGATAGAAACTTGGTCCATTAGCATCTCCTTGCTTAAAAAACTGGAAATAAAAAGTTACACGCGCGAGGGCTTTAACCTAGCGATGGGGAAAAAAAAAACCAAACCGAAAAAACTTGCCCCCAAATCCTTAACAACCCCCCTTCGGTACCGGGTATTTGTTAAATTGACGTGGCACAGATTTCTCGATTACCGCTGCTGAGCGTGACTGAAAGGCGCCGTGAGAGCCGGCAGGATCCTGCCCACGGCGCTCATTCTTCTCTGGCTTAATTTATGCCACGCGATTCTGTATTGGGGAAATCAAGCAGAAAGCTCCTTTTTCTGCTTTTTTCCCCCCTCTCCCTCTCTCTTTCAGATGCTGGACTAACGGGGAGACTGTTTAACTTAAGTGTTTCTATAGGAGGCTGTTGTAGTTTAACTCCTGCCCACCAGTAGCTGAGGCGAACAAAGGAGGGACTCGAGGTCTAACTATTCATCCATTCTCTGCACTTTAATTTTCATTGATTTCGAAGACAAGGGGAGCCCTTAGGGATTCTCGCTGAAGGGGGATGACACGCCTTTAGACGCGATCAGCCCCCCAGCCAGCCATCTGCTCCCAACCAAATGGCGCTTTTTCGCTCCCAACCGCGTGTCTCCGCACCGCGCTCGCCCGCCGCCCCCCGCCGCCTCCCGCCGCCCCCGCGCTGTTCGCCGTGCCCGCGCACCGCCACCGGCCCCCGCTGCCGGGCACGGCCGCCCGATCCCGTCCCGTCCCGTCCCGTCCCGCCCGGCGCCCTGCGCGGCCGCACCCGCCCCCCGGGTGAGCCGGCGGCGGGACCCCCGGGGGCGGGCGCGGGGAGCGGGGCCCCGCCAGGGCGCGGTGACCCCGCACGGCCGGGACGCGGCAGGCCCGGTCCCGCCTGCCAGCGGCTCGCTGGGGCTGGTGGGGCATTGTGCTCTCCCTCCCTGCCCCTAATTGATACCCTTCCCGCAACGCCGGCCCCCCTCTCCTGCTCCGGCGAGTATTTACGGTCGCGCCGCGGACCAGCGCGGCCGAGAGCTCCCCATCAGCCGCAGCTTTTATTTCTAAGCGAGCCAGATTATGGGAAAAGTCACTTAAAAAGGGGGGTGGGTGGGATCTGTGGGTATATTAATTAGGGCGACGCGCTGCCATCGCTGGCGTGCAACACTGATTTTTCCCGGGACGGAGGGCTCCGGGCATATGGCGAACGGTGCGCCGGCGGAGGGACGTGAACGTGTGGAGCTATGTGTAGCCGAGTGTGCATAATATTTTAATTAGATCTGTAGTCCCTACGGAGGTATGTGTGCGCGGCTGCCCCTCCGCCGCACGCCCCTTCACCTGTTCCTCCGGGCCGGGCCGGGCCGTGCCGGGCCGTGCCGGGCCGGGCGGGAGGGGATGGGAAGCGGGGGGAGGGCAGGCAGGGTGCCCCCGAGCCGGGGCTCCGGCTCCCCCGCTGGCCCCAGGCTCGGCGGTGTGACCGGGGGTGCTGGCGCTGCCCGGGCCCCGCCGCCGGGCGCCCCGACCCGAGGCGGGTGCGTGACGGGCGCGGAGGGGCTGCGGTGCCGGAGGGGCGCTCCGCCGCCCTTGCCGTATGCGGGGAGGAGGATTAAGAAGTTTAGCGTGTAGGTTAGCCCGAAGTTGCAAAGGCATGTGCTGATTAGAATAAGAAAGGGCAGTCGCGTGGCTCAGCTGGCACACAGCGAGGCCAGATGATAGATAAGCAGCTCTGGGTCTTCCCTTCCCCCCAGCCCCCTTTTTGAAATCGCAAATCATCTGCTCTGGCCCTATCCTAGCCCCTCATTTTCATTACAATGGTTGTGTGTTTACCTGTGATCCTGGGACGGGGCATTCCTTTGTCTCCCGAGGAGATTACCGCAGCCAGCTGCTCTCCAACCTTTCCCTGGGCAAATCCCGAAGTGGCCCCTATATGTGTTTTACTGATTGCACACGAGGAGAAAGCCAGATACCCCCTCCCCCCGTCCCGGCCCCGTTTCTCTGCGCTACTTGTTTGTTTGGGTTTGCTCCCTGGCTCGCTTCCGACGGGATTTGGCTTGTGGGAAACTAAGAGGGATAAAATTGATCACTCGTGTGCGTGAGCTGTCATTGCTCCCAAAGTCGGAAGGGCGAAGGGCTGCTTACCTCCGCCCAGGGGGCCAGAACGACGGGACCCCCCAGGGAACGACAGGACAAAAGGGGTTCAGGGAAATAAGGCTTCCCCCCTCCTTGCCCTCCCTTAGCCCTCGGGTTCCCCCCCCCCCACCTGCCCCGGTCTGGGACATAATTTTTCCCAAAACCTCCTGTGGGTGCCCTGAGCTGGGCAGGTGCCATTCCTTCCCCTGCCCCTGCTCTGGGACACGCAGTTGCAAAGGCTCTTCCTGCCCATGCCCCCCTTGGGAGTACCTCGGCCTTGCATTTGGAGTACTGGCATCTTTGTCTGCCTTTAAATTCAAGGATACTCAAGGTCTTCACCACACCAGAAGCTACTGAACATATTTGAACTAGAAAACCTTCTGAAGTGCCTTACCACATTAAATATCCCTTGATCCTGATATTTATCCTGTACCCCAGCACCCCTGTCAAGCGAGGCCAGTGTAACCCCATGTAGCACTGAGGCCTGGCTTGTCTTGGCAGCAGCGTCACAGAGGGAGGGTGAGCAATAGGACTCAGATCATGTACAGGTGATAAAAAATGTGATGGCACTCCTCAAAAAAATGTTCTGCATAGCAGCTACGAGATTCTGTTGGATGGCTGGAAAAATCCCATTCTGCTACCAACTTCAGTAGCAATATTCACTGTCTCTGCCAGTTCTTGTAGGAAAACTTTTGCCCAGCATTATTAATCATCATCTTAAGCCAGAACTATAAATAGTAGCTGCAAACCACCACTCCAGCACAGGTCACTCTCTAGAGCCCTGTGACAGCACAGAGTTCTGCTGTACTGTGTTGCATTCCATGCATGAAGGGTTTTTGTGTTCCCCCCCTTTGCACAGTGTGTGCATCTTGCACACTGGCTGCAGTGCAAAACTTGCTGCTAATAAACTTTGGGGGAGGAGAGGGGGCAGCAGTTTGATTACATCTTCCAGAGCTTTCCAAGCCACTTCCAATTTGTGGAGTTTTTATTTCTTTCTTCATCTCTCCACGTTCAGGGTAGGCAGGGGTGGGAGAAGGTGCAGGCAAAAACTACTCTGCAGAAGGTGATTATGAGAAAGAGGATGGGTATGGATGGGGCGGGCCTGAGCTTTTGGAAATGCTCTCCCCTTTTCTGAGAGCATCTGCCCGGAGACGAACAGATGTGGGCACCTGCGGTGACAGGCCACATATGCTCCATCCTATTCACAGGCATTCAGACACAGCCACAATGGTGAGGCTTTGTGCACTCGGAGTCACCAAATATATTAATCTGCACTCCCCAGAGCACCGCTCTCTTTAATTTTTCACCGGCAATAACATCTGATCTAATCTTCCCATGGGCTCCCCCGTGTCCCTCTTGCCCCTCCCGGAAAGATGTGAAGTTATTCAGGTCCCCACCTGTTGCCGGCGGGCTGCGAGCGGGTCTCGCTCCCGGCCCGCACCCAGGGCGTTATCCCGGGATAACGTGCGGCCCGGGGGACAACGGGGGTTCCCCTCCGCTGGCAATCGTCCCAATGAAAAGCGAACCCGCCCCCCGCCAAAGGTCGCGCTGCCCGGGGGGACATAAATCTCCCAAGTGCGACTCGGGGGGGGTTTGAAGCGATTTCGGTGCGCGACGCTTTCATGTCCCCCGCCCCGTCCCTCCGTGCCGGCCGGGTTTGTTCGGGGGCACAATGGCCCCTCCGGCCCCATTGTGGCCATACAAAGCCCAGGGACCGCAGCCCGCGGGCGGGTACAGCCGCGGTTGCCAGCGGCCCGGCCCCTCACCGGCACGGCCCGGCCCCTCTACAGGCACGGCCCGGCCCCTCACCGGCACGGCTTGGCCCCTCCACAGGCACGGCCCGGCCCCTCACCGGCACGGCTTGGCCCCTCCACAGGCACGGCCCGGCCCCTCACCGGCACGGCCCGGCCCCTCCACAGGCACGGCCCGGCCCCTCACCACTACGGCCCGGCCCCTCCACAGGCACGGCCCAGCCCCTCACCAGCACGCCCCGCTCCGCCGCCGTGCGCAGGCGCGGCCCCGCCCGCCCCGCGGGAAGCGGAAGCGGCGCTCGGGTCAGTGCCGGGCGGTGGGGCCGGGGCCCCCGGGGCTCCCCGGGACTGGGCCGGGCCGGGCCGGGCCGAGCGGGGCGGGGCGAGGCGCTGGGGTTCCGGGGTCCCCGTCCCGGGGTGCGCGGGCAGCGCGGCCTGGGAGCCGCACGGACTCCGGGGCGGGGGGTCGGTCGGCGGGGCTGCGCGCAGCGGCCCCCGCACCCTGCGAGGTCCTTTCCAAGCCAGACTGTGATTAAAAAGGGTGGCATTCAGAACTCTGTCTTTAACTGATAGGTTTCGGGAATGCTTTTAAAAGCTGTCTATTCACTGTACTTTGTAAACTCACTTTCCTTTTCCTTTTGAGTACTGTAAGCATGTATATTTCTTAATAAAAAACCAAAATCTGTCCTCGTTTTTCTTGTATTGTGTTCTTCTCTATACGCTATTAACCTGAAATCTCCCTCACTGGGGATACTCAAGAACCGTCCAAACGCAATCCTGTGCTGTGTGCTCTAGGATGGCCCTGCTGGAACAGGCAGGTTGGACTCGTGGTTCCTTCCAGCCTTACTCATTCAGTGTGAATGAATGAATGAATTTTGTTTGGTCATACTTACCAGAATCTTTTGATACTTATATTTTTCACTGATACAAAAGCCAGAAGTGGAAGGGAAAATGAATGAGTACATATGTTCAGTTTGCAGAGGGAAACGAAACTGTTTCAAATTGTTAAAAGCTGTTAACTATCAGCAAATGCAAAAAAATAACAGTTCTGTTTCCAAGCAGCTTTTAAAAATATTATTGTAGAATTTCATTGTTTTCCGGTATTGCATCTTAGAACATTGTTTTTATTTCTCTTCTTTCAGACTGCTGTGAGTTTTGGAGATCAGCCATGGGTGTTAGAGGCTTGCAGGGATTTGTGGCAAGAGTTTGCCCTCATGCGTGCCAAACGGTAGATCTGAGAGAAATGGCAGAAAAGCATCGCATTGATCATCCTGACTGCCCACCTGTTATCGTGGTAGATGCCATGAGTTGTGTTAGACGCTGGTACACACCAGAATCCTGGGTGTGTGGTGGCCAGTGGCGGGAGTACCTTGCCATTTTAGAGGATTTTATCAATGCTTTTATGGCAGCTGGTATCAAGTTGGTGTTTTACTTCGACGGAGTGGTAGAAGAGAAAAAGAGAGATGAGTGGATCAAACGGAGGATGAAGAATACTGAGGAAATAGCCAGATTGTTTCAGTTTATCAAGACTCACAGGAAACAGCCAGGGAGAGAAATGTTTGTTCTTCCTTCAGCTCTGCCTACTTTTACACGTTATGCCCTGAAATCACTCGGTCAAAAAACAGTCTGCACGTTGCAAGAGGCAGACTTTGAGGTGGCTGCATATGGTTTGCAGCACAACTGTATGGGAATTCTGGGGCAAGATAGTGACTACCTCATCTATGACACATGTCCCTACTTTTCCATTGAGAACCTCCGTTTGGACAGACTGGTCACTGTTAGGTACTCTCGAGAAGTTCTTTGCCGTGTGCTGGGTATTAGTTTGACACACCTTCCTCTCTTTGCATGCTTGCTTGGCAATGATATTGTTCCAGAAAGCATGTTGGAAGGATTTTGGAACAAATGTTTAACCAGCAGTCCCCACAGGAACCGCGGCTACAACAGAACAAACATACTGCTGTCTGTAGCAAATTACATCTCAAAAATGCCATGCTCGTACAGCAGCCTGAAACACTTGGAAGAGATTCTACCTCTGGGATCAGACAAGACATTGCTCTGCAGAGGAGTGAGCTCCTACCTTTTGCCTGGGCAGCAGTCTCCATGGGTTCCTCCCAATGAAACAAATTGTCAAATGTTATCCCTTCAACAACAATCAGCTCTCTGTCAAGATAAAGAAATCTTTCAGGTAACTTGTTTTTTAAACCTGAATCATCACTTCATTGCCATGACTAGTTAGTGGACGTTAGTGATCAATCTTACTGATTTAAATTTGCTTGTGCAAGAATCTTTTGTCTGTTAAGTAGAGCCCCAGTTACAATTATTGCATGCATTAATATGAGCACAGATGCAGCACATTTAATAAAAAGTAGTTTCTCTCTTTTTGAAATATCAGGTAGGTCACGTAATGGGGAGCAGCTCCTGTCTAGCCCAGCAGCTGGACACAGACATGTACTTCCCATGTATTATATGACTTCCCATGTTTATATGATTTGTGTATTGACTTGGTTTTTACTTTGAGAACCCACAGGTCAGCCATAAGCTGGTCAGTTGTCTGCTTGGCTATGCCTTGCAGTGGAGGTATCAAAGGTAGCTGTGCTAAGAATGCAGAAGTTGAAATTGCTTGTGGTGGAGACATGGAAATTCCTACAGAATCATGTCAGAGTCATAGAATGGTTGGGGTTGGGACTAAAGATAACCTAGTTCCAAACCCCTGCTCTGAGCAGAGAGGCTTCCACTAGATCAGGTTACTCAGAGCTCCATCCAACCTGGCCTTGAATACTTCCAGGGATAATCCAACTCCTCTCTTGTCAACCTAAGCCAGTGCCTCACCACCTTCACAGCAAACGACTTCTTCTTAATATCTAATCTAAACCTACTCTCTGTTGGTTTAAATCCATTTCCCCTCATCCTGTCACTACAGACCCTTGTGAAAAGTCCCTCTCCAGCTCTTTTGTAGCCCCATTTAGGTATTCGAAGGCTGCTCTAAGGTGTCTCCAAAGCCTTCTCTTCTCCAGTTACACAACTCCAGTTCTCAGCCTGTCCTCATAGCAGGCATGTTCCAGCCCTCTGATCATCTTTGCAGCCCTCTGGACTCACTCCAACAGGTCAAAGTCCTTCCTGTGCTGGGGATGTCAGAGCTGGGCACAGCACTCCAGGTAGGGTGTCACCAGAGCAGAGTAGACAGGGAGAATCGCCTTCCTTGCCCTGCTGGTCATGCTGCCTTGGATGCAGCCCAGGGTTCAGCTGGCTCTCTGGGCTGTGAGCACACGTTGCTGGTCAAACTCACAGCTCAAGCTGCTTACTCAGCAACACCCTAAAGCCCTTTTTAGAGCTGCTCTCAATCCATTCTCCATCCAGCCCGAATTTGTGGTCAGGATTGCTCCAACCCAAGTGCGGAATCTTGTACTCAGCCCTGTTGAAATTGGTGAGGTTTGCACAGACCCACCTGTCCAGATTCCTCTGGATGGATCCTTTCCCTGCTGCATGTGGATGGTACACACAGCCTGGTGTCACCTTGCCAAAGGAGCACTCGATCCCACTGTCTGTGTTCCTGGCAAAGATGTTAAACTGTGCTGGTCCCAGTACTGACCCCTGAGGACACCACTTGTCACTGGCCTCCCCTTGCACATCGAGCCATTGACCACAACTCTTTCAGTGTGACCATCCAACCAGTTCCTCATCCACCAAGAGGTCCATCTGTGAAATCCATGCTTCTCCAGTTCAGGGACAAGGATGTTGTACAGGACAGCGTCAAATGCAATAAGTCTGTATTTTGTCATTTTTGCTTCAGCTTAAATTATCCTTGTTTTCATTGTCCCTGAATGACCCAAAAGCACTTCAATGGGTTTATTAATTCCCAAAGGTCAGGGGTGCAGTAGCAAGTTTTAGTTATGGCATCCCATATGGACAGGGATGCACTGGTGTGGGGGTAAGATACAGTATGGCAGATTGAGTCACTCTGGGAAATTGGATATATTAGCTTAGGGTGATGTACCTGGCTAATAGAAAATGTGCTACCTTGCATCAGAGTTTATGGTACAGAAGTAAGTCTAGAGTACAATTCTGTCAATTCGTGGCAATTAAGATAACATATTGAGATTTTTTTAAAAAATCTATACAAGGAAGTGTATTTTAGAGCCTGTATTAGCCATCTGTTACTCCCTATTTTATTAGGTCCTTGTAGACTTCAAACACAGAAGTTTTTTTTTTCTTTCTCTTGCTTATCTTGAGCATTTTCTTTAAAACTATTTTTGTTTCCTCATGTTACTCTAAAGTAACAATATAATTTACATTTTGCTTTCTAAAAAGACTATAAAACATTTTATAACTGCATTGTAACCTATGTAGTGCTCATTTCAGCTAAACTGTAGATATATTTGGGTTTTTATATTCACCACACATAGCTACACTACATATCACTTTTTACTGTTGTAGTTAAATAGAAGATTTTTTAAAAAATCAGCAGCCCTACATCATAATAAGGTGTTGAAAAATCTCTTTCTGCTTGAAGTGCAAGGAATAAACAGCCAGAATGCAATTATCTAGGTTGGATTATGGCCAGGACAAAAGTGGCAATATCCTTATTCCTTAAGAGAATGTACCATGTGGTCTTTATGACAAATGGTCATTATTTCTTGGCTTGGTCTTTAATTTGAAGGGTTGAAGTTCTGAAGCATCATGCTGAGCTGCTGCTCTAATAAAATAATAATGTTTAGAAACTCCATTGAAGAACACTTCCCTGTTGCTGCAAGAATCATGCATGAAGCCAGTCCCTGGGCCAAGGAAATTACAGTCAAAATGTTAGACATGTTAACTTCTCTTTTGTTTTTGTTACAAGTGTTCAAATATTTGAATATGTAATGTGTGTGCTTTGCTTCATATTTTGAAACCCTTATGTAGCCCTGCTTACCTTGCACATTGTCTGAGCTTCATGTAAATGGCACACAAAGCTCAATTCCCACCATGAGGGCATAGCCTCCTGTTGCTGTTTCTCTCAGAAGAGCATAACTTTCTAGCTGATTGTAGGTATGAATCAGAAATATTTTTCAAGATACAGACATTGAATGCAGCAGTACTTTTGAAATCAGCTTGTAGTTTTTTCAGTACATAAGGATGTGTAGCTTATTGGCAAATTGCAATAAGCTAGTGTTGTTGATGGTCTCATCTGTGGCTGGTTTCTGTGCAATAGTTCAGTGCTTCATTAAAATCATGCTTAGAAATACTTGATGCTCTGTTTTAATTTTATACAAAAGTATACTTGATGGGATTACATTGTTTACACATATTAGGAATATTGAAGTATTTCTGGCAGGGAAACCTTTAATTTATTGTGTAAGTGCTCTGTTGATTGGCACTGTACACAGAAAGTATGACATTTTAGTAGAATTAGTTTTGATCACTAATTACCCAGTGAATGACTGCAGCTTTCACCTGCTGAGTTCCCGGGTTTGCAGATACTGGAATTCTGCAGAAACGGTGAATTTGTTTCTGGGCAGTGGTCCAGTAACTCCTAGTGAAAGAATCTGTGGTAGCTTCAGCTGGATGGTACAACCCAAATAGTACAACTGGCCCGACACATGCAGGGAATGCAGAGCAGAGAAACATCAGTGCCTGCTCACCATATGGCACAGGTCCTGGAGAATTTGTTAGTGGCACCCCATGGAAATACTCACTCTGCTCAGCTGTTTAAACACCCCAAGTTTTGGTCTGGGATTGTGCAGTAGAAAGTCTGTCTGTCTGTGCACTTGACCAATCCAGATTGCCAGTGTTACTGGTTGGAATTCTGTGCTGATGAGCACAGAATGATGCTGAGAGCATCTTTGTTGCTTTCTCACCTAGGCTCTTCCAGACCAGCAGACCCTGCTGGTACTGAGGCTGCCTGTAGCCAGCTGCTGTAGCCAGATGTGTTTGCATCCAGTGCATGGTTAATGTGCAGCCTGGGTGATGCTGTTAATTCTGCTTTTCAGCAACATGCCTACAGACCTGGTTTTCCTCACTAGAGTAGATGGCATTTCTTTTCACAGTGGAGAGCTATTGCAAAGTAAAAGTATGGTGAAATTAAGTATTCTAATTTTACCAGAATGTAAACTACACCAAGTCAGGTCAGTAAAGAAATACTGCTGTCTTATATAGTTCAACTTGTGATAAAATTGAAAGTTTGCATTTTGTCGTGCCTTCACTCCCTGTTTAAAGAAAGAAGATACATTTTCAGGTGACCAAAGGAGGGCAGCTATGCTAGAACTCAGAATTAATTTTAAGAATAATTACTTTCTAGAAAACTGTTGTTCAAGCTTTTAAATTTTTTTAATTAAAGGAGGGGCTAAGGAAGGTAATGACAGTTTTCCTGGGGATTCCTCTCCACAAAAAGATGAAAATAAACTATATTGGTGTTATTTGAAAAAGCACTTGTTCCCTCCCTGGCTATTCCCTCCATTTCTACTGATAGAGAAATATCTATTTCCTCAAACAGTGAATACATGTTGTTACTTTTTGATTATTCTTAACTTTGGAGATAATGCCTTCTTCCTTCTTTGAACTAACAGTTAGCTAAAGAACAGCATATCCAATCTGAAAATTATTCGATCTTCAATATCCTGAGTCATGGAGAGATTGAGTGCAGCAACTCCTTGGAAGATGACTATGATACAGAGATCCCTGGACAGGCACTTATCTACCGCCCCGCTCGTCAGCATATTTATTCTATCTTGCTGGAATCTGGAAAAGGTAAGGATTAAACCACTTACACCATTGTACTTTCAATTTTGAAATAAGAAATACTGAATTCATTGCTTCAGTTGCTTTATCAGCATTTAGGATAGAAAATGCATTTAGGATAAAAACTCCAAACAGCTCAAACGTAATTCTTATGGAAGTAAGAGAAAATGTGAAATTGTGGGGCTTTTTCTACATGCTGCTCCATTTCAGTGCTTTTAAAGTGATTTTTAAAAATTGGAGCTTTTTTCCTTGCTAAATGGGAAGTTGTGAAAGTTGTTAATGATTAAAAAATTGAGCAAAGCAATGGTCTTTACGAGATTTTTGAAAGTTTGAAGGTATATGAAACCAAATGTTCTTGGGTAAGTGTGGCTCTGGATGAATTAGTGAGTTGTAATACTCTTTTACAGAACAATAATGCACTGTTAAAGTTTTACCTTCTGTTGATTTTAAATCTGCAATTTTCAGACCAGTCAAATACAGTTACTGTAATAATACAAATGCAAGTAGTCATGCCAGCTATTATTAGTTCTTTCATCCAAGTGCTAGAAAATATGATTTCCTTATCCAGTGGTATAAACAGATTCGGTAGCAGGTACTTATATCTGTGCTTGCATTCATCTCCTTGAAGACAGAGAGTTCTTTATTCACATCCTTGGACCAATTTCATGTTCTTAAGACTTCCATTAGTTAAGTGTTATCTTTACATTGTCTTTCAGCCAGTGAGTTGAAAATTAAAAGTGTACTGAACTTTACTCTTTTGAATGTGTTGATTTCTCCGTGGTAATCGCTTTACATTTTATTGATCAAAGTGCACCGCCATCAAACCTAATATTCAAACTATTTGCTTAGAAAGGCACAAAAAGGTAATTAAGTACATGATTTCACTCAGCAGCCAGAGGTTGAAGTTGTGCCATAATAGGAAAAACTGAATCAGAGTTTACATAGCAATTTGGAGAGAATAACAAAAATCCCAGCAGTAATCATGCACATCTGTCATTTTTCATTTTTTGGTGTACTGCCTCCAAATTTTGTATATAATTATAACTTGGTTGGGTTTTAGTTATTCATCTAAACAGCAGGATATTCATTGATGTTTTCAGAAACACCCAGGCCAAAATTCCTAATTAACAGTTGTTGCTGCAAGATGGCAGGGTAGTAGGCAGGTTAGCATTTGTGTTACAGTGGGTTTAGTACTCAGAGAAGATTAGAATTGAAATACAGAAATGTTTATTTAGAGTCATATTGAAAATGAAATTTTAATGTGAGAGTTGTCTTCTTTTAAGGAAGTGATTTTAGAATAAAATGACAGCATAGGTTATTTGTTCTCAGTTCAGGCTTCCAATTCTAGTGATAATTTTCTAAACTAAGTCATAGTTTAGAAAATCAGTCCTTAACCCTTCCAGAAAGGTAGGTAGGTTGTGTCTGCATGGGTGCCTCTATTAAATCTGCATTTTCAATGCATGTGTCTACCTCTAACTGCTTTAACCATGTCACTTCCTAGTAGTTCATGAGCTGTTTTTTATTCCAGTGTATAGTTGCTTCTAAGTCAAGAGCATAAATCATTAGTCACAGTCTGTATTGGAATGCATAGGTATGTGTAAGCATTAGGTTTTATGGATTCACTGCTAGACCTACAAAGCTTTGTTCTTTACAAAGTAAGTAGAATCCTTTGCCAGTTTCCCTCAGATGAGATCAAGCTGATTGGTTTTTGTAATTTGATAAGGGATAGGATGGGAAGAAGTAGTCTACACTGTCCGTAGGTTGTAGTATAATGTAGAATGACATTGGGTTAGCATTATAAAAGAGTTTGCTGGAACAAGACAACAAATTAAATTAGTCCATGTGGAGTCTGCCACCATTTTACAGCTGCTGATGTAGCACATTTGAAGCTAACTCGACTAACTCTACACAATGTTTGCTCCAGTTTGCTGTGATCATGCATGTGTTAGTGATCCTCTTTTTTACTCCTTAATATCATCAATTAAAATATGGTGGAAAGTGACCTCTTTGCAGTTTGCAGATTACTTACCGTTAATTGGCAAAGCAGACAAAATTTAGTAAAAGTAGTGGTTACAGTCTTAGTCAGAACAGGTTAAAGCTAATGTAAACCGTTTGCCCTACTCTGAAACACGAGACTGTTAGTTCTGAATGTCTAGATTTTTAAGGGTGCTTAAGAGACCCACAAATCCATAGGAGCAGAATGTCATATCCTCTGAAGCCATTGGCCCATACTATGCCACTTTGCCTGAAGTCATAGTGGGATGTGTTGCTTTTGCTATCAGTGCCACTTCAAATAATTTTCTTGCACAGCCACTCATTTCAATCTTTGCACATTGTCTCAGTTGTGCTGCTGCAGCTGTTTGTGCAGCTGTGTGGTGGCCTAGTTTGAGAAACTGAAAATAGCTTCTGTCTCTCTTCCCTGCCTTTTTTGTAATCAGGTAACTAACCTGCTCTGTTTCCCTATCTGGCTCTATGGAGCCACAAGCAGCTGTGCTGAAACACCCTGAGGGAATGGCAGGGAGTGGGAATGAGCAAATCAGTGCCTGCCTGTAAAAGATAGCAGAGCTGCTGAAACAATTGCTTATATAACATTGCCTTTGGTATAGTTTGGTGTGTGGTGCACGTACCTTTACTCATGGAAATGTTGGAGAATCACAGCCTTATTTTTGATGCTACAGAAATAAATAGGGGGCTGATGATGATTCTGACAACATGGGATTTGTTGTCTGTGTATTTCAAAAGTGTACTTATAATTGACTGAGCCATTATGATCAGTATGTGAAATATTGCATACGGTGATAGAAATTGTCAACACTTTAGCATCTTTCTGAGAAAAAGTACTTCTGGAAAAATTCAAGTAGGAGGGGAAAATAACAGTAAATAATACACCCTGATAGGCCAGCCAAGCTTTCTTATGTGTGGAAAGGGTTCAGAACAAAGCCAGCAGGTTTTGGCACTAGCACAGTCCATGAAAATACCTGCACCTGCATGTCCATTGCCAATTAGGAGGTTATGTAATGTAGCCTGAGCCCGTGGCCAGCTCCTCGAAGTCCTGGCATCACTCCCAGTTCTAACATTAGCAGGCCAGACTGATTCTTGCTATGACACTGTCAAAACCAGTCCCTTAGCAGAATTTTTGCCAGTTATCACCAGTGACCACTCAGTAGAGTTGGGGTTGTTGCAGGTGTAGAGGAACACACATAACAGCATTTTCCAACTCTCTCATGGTTTGCACATAGTTGAAGTTTCCTTAGGCTGCCTAGGCAGTGCTTTCACAGGTCATTCAGAATCTATTTAAGCAAAGGAACTGCTTTTTTAAAAAATTTAATTGGTGATATTCTTTATATGCATTGTGGGGAAAACAGTTGGGGTTTCTTTCCCCAAGACATTTCCATGCAGAGAGGGTTGACATTTAGAAATCATATCTCCACTTTGTTCTTGGTATGTTAATGGGCCATCAATTTGCAGGACTTTGCTTTCAGCTATATTTATTTGGCTATCTATGTGAACAGTGATATATGTTTGTTACTAATGGGCTATAGTAATGAAAAGCACTCAGCTGATGTGGGGCTATGTCCTGTACCTACATTCACAGGCATGTAAAGAATGAAACTGTAGACTTCCTATCAGCTTCCCTTTTTACTGTGCATCAATGGCTGATGTCAAAAATACTCTCACTGGTATTTAGAATCAAGACACATTTTGGTATGTTTTTCTATGAGTTGTGGAACTCATAAAGAGCAGTGCTCCTCACCAGCAAAGTTATTCTATCTCCATGTTTCTTTATACCATCTTAACTTCTTCTCATGTCCTTGACAACTCCCTCCTGCAGTATATGGTGTTCCTAAGCATGTTCCCTATTGTTTCTTGCTCTTCCCAAATCCCATCTACCTTTTCTCTCATCTCTAGCTTTTCTACAGCTGTTTGTGTATTGATTTGCCATTCAGTCTGTTTGGATACAACAGGTAAGTTGACTTTCCTGCCTTTCTTTCAATTGGTGCCCTAATAGGATCCTTCTGTCAGCTGACTCTTCAGTTTCACAAAATGTTTAGGACTTTTGAAATCCGTTTGAAATCACTTCTCCTTTGGCAGATTTAGCTGAAGCAGAGCAGTACATCCATGAATTAATTACAAGACAGATGTCCTAATTGCATTAGGTTTGCCTCCTTAAGAAACCAGGCTAAAATTTAGGAGTCTGAGTGAGCTGAATAAATTAAATAAAGCAGAGTAATCCACACACTAAATCTTAAAACTGAATGTTAAAACATCAGAATGTTTCTGAAAGTGATTTTGGGTTATTTGATTGAAGGGTTTTGTTAATGAAATAATGTTATCATAGACAATGATTTATAATCAAGATGTGAGATTATTCAGCTATTGGAATGTACAGTTTAAGGCTTTTGTCCCCTCCAGTGTAGGCATTTTAAATTTTATTTTTAATGTCATTGGTTTTTGAATAGATAAGCATGGCAAGTCATGTGTAACACAGTCTCTCATACTCCATGTGTTGGTTCTGCAGTCCCTCACCTTTATTCAGAGTTTGTGCTGCAGGTCCATGAGAAAAGAAGGAAAGGAAGGAAGGAAGGAAGGAAGGAAGGAAGGAAGGAAGGAAGGAAGGAAGGAAGGAAGGAAGGAAGGAAGGAAGGAAGGAAGGAAGGAAGGAAGGAAGGAAGGAAGGAAGGAAGGAAGGAAGGAAGGAAGGAAGGAAGGAAGGAAGGAAGGAAGGAAGGAAGGAAGGAAGGAAGGAAGGAAGGAAGGAAGGAAGGAAGGAAGGAAGGAAGTTGTAAAACAGATTTTGTAGTGTTCTTTTTCCCTTCTCTTACCCCTGACATTAGAAATTCATCTGAGGAATTTCTGCCCTTGCATGGTAGCACAATACTTTTTCATTCATGTCAGCAGTTATCTCCGGCATTGAGCTGTGAGTGAGATCAGGAAATTGTGTGACAAAACCTTTTTGGATGGACAAGGAAAGGACAGTGTTGGAAAGGTTTGTTTGGTTTGGTTTAATCTAGGGGAAGTTTTTGATTAGGGTTCACATGGCATCAAAAATACTTGTGCAGTAAATTTTAGGGAGTTTGGAATTGGTGATGAAAGGCAGGATTTTTAACGGATAATGGCTTTAATATTGGTTGAGAGCTGGAAGAAATTAGAGATGCAATCCTGTGAATCTGGAAAGGGACAAGGGAAGGAAAAAAAGTAAATATTTGAAAACTCTACTCCAAGTGCCCAGGACTAGCTAAATCTCTTTAATTCATACTGTTTACCAGACTACAGACAGGAAATTTAGGGCACTGTGACATGGATACCATAACCAAAATCTGGACAGAATGCAAAACACCATTGATAGTAGCACTGATTCTATGTTTGTTTGGGGTTTTTTTAATGAAGACTTGCATTTGAATGATTTTGAGCTGGTTCTTGTAAATTGGATAGTCTGCATTTCAAAAATTCTTAAATGCATAATTTTTTTTTCCTGTGGGTTGGTTTGTTTGGGTTTCTTGAAGCATCAAATAGTTAGATGCACAATTCCTGAAGTCCTTAAATTAAATTTTTAATTTAAGGGCCATCTTTAGAGGGGCTGAGCAGGGTTCAGGTTAGGGACTAGGAAAGCCACTTGAAGTATTATGTATAAACAATTCCTTTATGCTCGATAAAAGGTCTGGAACAATGGGCTGTAAAAGCTCTGCATCTGATGGTGGGGTGACTCCATTGCTGTCAGCTTTCAAATAGCCATCAAGGCCTCCCTTTTAAGATTTTGGCTCAAACCCTGACACAGGAAATGTCAGGGCAAGTTGGGAGGTGAATCATATTAAGCTCTGCCTGGATATGTGGCAGTGTGACAGTGCTGAGAGACTGGGGTAGCTCCTGCAGGTCTCTGAGCTATGGCACATGCCCCCAGAGCTTCCTGAGCTGCCTTGGGCTGGAAAGACCTAAGCCTGTTTCAGAATGTTTTCCACAGACTCTTGTATTTGCAGTTTTGGTTGCAGTTCCCCAGTCCAAACTCATGTTTATAGTACGTAATTGAAACTCTCTTTATTTGTTCTGATGATTTGTCATAAAGATACTGAAACAATTTTTTCTTGGTTTGTTTCTAAAGCTGAGCAAACAAGTCATCAAGTGCCTTCTATTTAGAATCCTGATCACAGCTTATCCCAGCTGTTACAGTAGTGTCAATACTTGCATTTGACTTACTGATCCAATTCTGTCTTTTTTAGGTGGAACCTGCCCTTTGGTAAAAGAGTGGTTTGTCTATTTTGGAAATCCTCTCAAGGAGCCGGACCTGATACAACCTGTACAACCTCCCGTAACAGGTAGAATAAAAATGTGTATTAATCTAAACTGAAAGAACCACTTCACTAAAATGAGGTTGGACAATCCATCATATGTTTGATATAGAATCCAGGATGACTGTGGAGAACAAGGAGCTAAAGAGCTGCACCCTTGTAGTTGCTTTTAATTACCCTTTGTAATTATAATAGGATTCAGCTTTAAGATACATGTTTTTGCTGATGTTTTGTCTTGTTAAACCCAGTGCTAATTCAAACATCAGTTTTAAAATGCAGACAATTTCTTAGAAGTTCTAAATACTGCTCTGAGGCCAGGATAAGTGGTGTGTGGGGCCATAATAAAACTTGTCCATTAAGCTGTTTGACAGATCGTGTTAATGAGAACAGTGGAGAATGTAAAAAGGAGTCATTTTTATATAATCTCTGACAATCCAGAGAGAGATTCCAGCTTTTAATTAAAAATAAAATTGGGCTGTTTCTGTGAAGCTGTTTCTACTCTCTTAAGTATATTGTGTGGTTTTATCTTCTTCTCTTTGGTAAAAAAAACACATTAATGAACACTCTTAGTGAAATTGGAGTTATGAGAAATGTGTTACATTTATGAGGAAGTATCATACATTTCAGTGAAAAGATTGAGCACTGTATATATATAATTGTGTATATATATATATATGTATATATATATATACACAATTATATCATTCAGTATAAGTTTAGGATGAGAATTAAACAATTTTATTATGTCAAGGGGAAAGTTGATTCAAGTGTTCATTTGTCCATGCAGTTGAATTCATCCTTGATCTCACAGCTCTCTCTCTCTCTGTCATCTGTTAGCAAATGGATCAGCAGCTCAGGGATTTTTCTGGTCTTTCACATGAAATGTATTCGTTCCACTGATATACAATAGCATTGATATTTTGTTAAGAAAAGTTACTATCTAGTTACTATCTAAAAGTTAGTCAGCCTTTGGACAGTAATTACCAGCTCATCTTCCTTGGGCATCCTACGTCTTCTGTAGCAGTCTTTGCGCTGATCTGGTCTAAATCCAAATTCAGAAGCTGAAATGCAGGCACGTCTTTGTAAATTTATAGTAAAGTTTCTTTTTCGGTATCCAAAGATTGAATATTTATCTTCATATTTGAAACTCATATATTTAATGAGAGTCTTTGAAATCAAAGATGAAGGAAAATCAGTTGCTTTTTAGATATCATCCTTTTCAAAATCCTTTTTAAAGGACTGTTCAGAAAGAATTGGTTATATAGACAAAGTACAAAAGAGTTTTTATTTGATATACAGTACTTTCACTGTCCAGTACACAATATTAGGAGAGTGATTATCTAATTGGCTTTATGATAGTAAGAAATTGCTGTGAAATTTTTCAAATGGAATATGAATATGCAGAGTGAAAATTCATCAGTTTGTCCTGTGCAAATGTTTTATTTCAGCATACAGTGGTCTGGGAACATGCTGAAAAACAAGGAAACAGAACTCAACAAAGTATAAACTGTACCTATGTAGTTACATTTCAAATTGTCTGACAAATATACTGTACTTATTGTTGTGACATTTTCCCTCCCAGATAGTATACTTGCTTCCTCCCTTTCTGGAGAATGCACTTAATCTCATGTACTCTGGTTCTATAGCTCTGCAAACATACAATACATAGAACCCACCTTCATGTTGACAATAAACAGGATTTTAAGTGTGTTTGTTTATAGCAACCACATAAGTGGAGTTTATGAAAACAGAATCTTCTCAGATACAATCTTTACTAACTCAGTAATGAAAAGCTGTTCAAGCAGACTATTAAAAATGGGAGGAGGACTTTTAGTGTTTATTTTTAGTGCTCTGTTGTCATTCCTTCAGCAGACAAATATTTTTCTAAAATTTTTGCAGTCCATATTTGTATGCCTTACATTCGCTCATGCGTCTTTGATTTTCCACAGCATGACTCTCTAATTCACCAAATAAGGTTCTCAACAGCACATCACATTTTTCAGACAGGGATCATATTTAGAGCTAAATTTAAAGTTGTTTTAGGAAGTTAGAGTTCAAGGCTGTCAATCACGATCAGGTTACTCAAAAAGACAAAAAAGAATTTTACCAAAAACCTACTTGAAACATCAAAAGTGAAGTGCAATAAATTTGGGAAGGTTCTTTTTTTTTTTCTTTTTTTGGAAAAAATCTGATAACCTGATCATCAAAACTACCTTAGAATATATGGAAAATCCTGACTCTCTTTCAGTTTGATTTAGATCAAAAAGTCTAAAGAAACTGTGAACTTTAAACTATAGTGTACATAATGATAAATATTTTAAATTTTGCATTGATCTTAAAAAAAAAGTAGAATTCCTACTAACTTTGTGTGTGTATAAAACAGCAGAAGTGCCTTTCATCTGGAAAGGTTGCAGGTGATAGATTGAATGTTAGCTTTTTTTAGAAATGAAATATCGAATCCTAAAGGCAGGATGGTAAGTAAGATGATAACTTAAAATATATTTAAAATATAGCATGTTTAACTATATTTTTTATTTTTGAGAAACAGTCTTCTGAATTAGCATCTGTGCTTTCTTGTATTGTTTGTGTCTCTTCCTTCTAGAATGTTTCTTTTCACTTGAATATGATCATGATTTACACACGTTGACAGAGCAGCACTTATATTGATAAGAAGTGTCACTGGCAAATCAATTTTGTTAGAAGATCCATGATTTAGGAAAATACAGTTTCACATCCATATCTTGTGAGCATAGCAGTTATATTTGATATGTCTGCAGTTTATGTGGAACAGAAAAAGTTCTAAAGTCTTTGCTGGAAATGTATACATTCTGTTGTTCATTTTATTTCTGACAATGCAGAGGATATTATAGCTTCATACCACAGAGTTTGGATCTACTTTCAGTACTCTAATCATTGCATCCTTCATGAATGTGTCATGAATATGTTTAAGTTCAAAATGCTGTCTCTGTCTTTAATGGTCGGATTTAATTGGCATTTGAGTTTTTTGGCCACAGTTGTTGAGAAGTTACTGTTGAGTGTTCCTAGCAAGTACATTTTTATAAACTTATTTTTATTCCTTGGTATTTACATGAGCGTGTAAAAATGAAGAAGTATTAAAGTTCTATTAGTGGTGTTATAAAATAAAATTTCAATAGTCATTACAAATATACATGAACATTTATTATTATACATCTATATATACAGTAATGATGTGTTTTAAATTGCTACAACTTAATTTGCTACAACTTAAGTGTGAGGATCACCTTTAAGTGTTGAGTTAAATGATATAATGGAATTAATGCATTCCACAACTTTTGCATGTATTGCATATCCATAAATCGATTATTGAAATTCAAACGGATGAAATAAATGTTTATGTAGTCCCTTGAAATTCTTTTGTTTCTCATGCTGCTTTCTATATGATAATGGTATTAAATGTGTGAGTATAAAGGAAAAAGGTGAAAAGTGATTTGTCCATGTTTTTTTTTTAAATTTGTGTGTTGTCTGTTTTTGTGTTTAGGCAAGTAATATCTCACCTCCATGGAGGTCTTTTTAAAGCTCCTCTTCTTGAGGTTCCTGAGAACTGCAGTTCACATAATGGTTTTCACACAATTTTGTGCCTGTTGAGAGTAATTATGTTTGCATATGTTTGTGTAATTAATGGGAAATTGTAGTTCCTACAACCCCAACAGATAATTCTATCATTACTAGTCTTTATAGTAAAGGTGTTTCAATTAGGTAGATATAAATATGTTTTGGGGTGTTTTTCTTTTGTTACTCAGTTTTGGTTGTTTTTCAGGTTAATTTAGGAAATGTATAGACATGTTCAGAAAATAGAATATTTCTCCTTCCTCTCCAAGTACATTTCTATTTCAGAAATATTTTCTAATTACTGTAAATAATGTAGTGAGGATGTACGTAAAGCAGAGAACATTTTGAGAATCTACTGTAGATGAATATTAAATCTGCTGTGGACTGCATGTAGGGTTGGACAGTCATTAAACTGTAGGATATTTGTTTCTTTGTTTTGCTTATCTTTCATTTGATATAATAGATTAGTCTTGGGTATTACATGAAATTTTATTACTTGAAGAAGACAACCCTTCAGAAAAAAAGCGCCTTTTGTTGGTGTGTTCCTAAAGGAGACAGCATCAAGTTTTCTTTCCCAGAGTAAATAACTCATAATTTTTCAGTACCCTCTTTTCCCAGGCACAAGTAAATGTTTCTGAAAGTAGAAGAAACTGTTTATGGAAGAGATGTCTTGAATTTTTTGTTGGACTCTCTCAATATAGATCTATAATCTTGAATATTGACGAAGTTAATGGTTTTACTCTGAAGAAGGAAGGATTTCTGTTTTTAGCTATGCCCCTGGATGCAAAAGAGAACTTTTCTTTTAACTGATTCTTGGTGTATCTCTTTATGTGCAGAAACCGTCAAAATAATTTGAGTTTACCCATATACAGCTTGTCTCACACATCAGGGTTGCTTAGGCTTGGTAGCAGAAGTTGGCTTTTTTTTTGTTTCATGCACGTTATATTTAATTTTCTTCCTGGAAGTCAGTCTGTGCTGTTCTTTTTTTTTCTTAAGGCAGCAATTTCCAATCTCAAAACCAGTAATGTGAGTCTTACTGTTCTGTCTATACTACCCCACTCACTGCCACTATTTATTTTATCTCTTTCCTGCATTTCTACCTCCAATCAAGCAATTGGGTTTTTTTCTTAATAATACATTTCCCTTAGAAATAAGGTTAGAAACTTATGGATTTTATGATAGTAGTTCTTTTTATGGTTAAAACTTCTGACAGGAGAGTTAGCCTCAAAAATAGTAAAGGAAACATCCATCAGGGAGATAAAGAAAGAGAATACTAACTTTTCTTCTAGTTTCCCCCTCTCCAAAGGATTAGTACCATTTGGTTAATGGGCTTTCCTGGCTAAATAAACATCATCTATGTAGATTTCAGCACCTTGTCACTTTAACCATTTATTATCACCAAGTGTTCCTAACTGGTCTGCAGCTGCTGCATGTCACATAAAAAAGGAAGAGGTGTTACCAAATGTAGCTTAATTAGTCCACATTTAAAATTCACACCTCGTTGTATTTAACTACAGAAGCAGCCGTACTTTATGGTACGATTCTGTCTTTTATTGAGATTCCCAGGCATAACCAGTTCACTGTTCTGTTATTTCACGTGCCTTAATGTTTATTTTGATAACAGATTAAATGTAATTTAAATGAGGAGCAAATTTTGCATTACACGTGTCACAAGCTGGGAGATGGCAGCATGGGGTAAATATTAAGGATTTAGAGACAAGCATGAATGATACTAGAGAAAGTCTGGAAAGATCCATTATTCATAACTGATGACAGATCTTTTGTGTGTGTTTGCAGCAGTGTTTCATACAGTAGCTTAGGAAGTGAAAAACACCAGATCCCTTTGGTTTTTGTTCCCAAACTGGAACGTGCTGCAGAGGAGCCAGACCCACACAGTGCCTGGTGGGGAGTGTCTGCTCACCACCGAGTGGCTGAGGTGGTCATTGAAACAGGTGATCACGAGGGAGGCAGTGTGAGCATCCTTTGGGGACCCCTGATATGTTAACTCCAGCAGAGAGAGAGAAAAACAGACCTGATGGTTCTCTACTGAATCACTGTTTCACGATGAAGTGAGCCTCAATTAATGCTGTGCATCCCCAAGGGAAAGAACACACTTGCAGGCAAACTTTGGCCTTGCATAGGTTAAATGCTTGCTGTCTTAAGGTTGTCTATGTTATTGTAAGGGTTGAATTCAGTCCACTGTGCTTAAACAAGCCTGTATTCAATAAATTTGGTTTAAATTATAGGCCATTATTTTTGTTAATTTTTTTTTCAAATGCAAGTTTTGTCAAATACATTTTATTTTTGACTCTGTGGTCCTGGCAAGTGCCAAGAGCATTTCATTTCCTTTCCTGCCAGAGCAGTCACTTCCTTTCAGATTTGTAACGAGGTAGACATGTTTCATCTTGTTGCTGCCAAAATAAAATAATGGATTTCTTTTGTAGGTGGAACACCTAATTTGAAAACACTGTGGCTTGCCAAGGGGCCTGACGTGGAGAAGCAACGGTATAGCACATTTCTGGCATGCTTTCACCTTCAAGATGAGATGGAAGAGCTCCAAGCTCTGGAAGCACCTGTTGCAGGATTCTGCTGCTTGCTGGCCTATCTTATGATGCAAGTAAGAGGGATGGTTGCTTTTCCCTAAGTCAGGGCTGTCACCCCTGATAAGTGCAAAGGACAAATAAAGTGGTTTTTGCTAGCCTGTGCTGGGCATTCCTCTTAATCCTTACTGTAGGCATAGCTGATCAAATTTAATAGTACTGCATTACAGTATTTTTAATTACTCCACTTAGCGTGCACCATCCTGTTCAAGAAATACTTGGGGTTTTTAGTAGCTAATCATAACTCTCATGTGCCCATGACAAAACCCCTCGGGCAGTCTAGCAGAGAGAGTATAAACTGAGGGATTTCCCCTGCTCTTTGGGACCTGTTTGCAAATTAAAGTTGCTCCTTTTGTCTTTCCTTTGTGTCATCAAAAGGAGACATTCCCTCAGGTGACTATGCAGACTGTGCAAACAGACAATATAAATATTTAGTCAGCTCTCACTGACTACTTTTTCATGCCATCTCATCAGTCTACTAATTTTCAAGCCAGAATTGAGGATATGGCCCTTCTCATTAAATTCTGAGTAATAGGGGATCATTAGGTAGCACTTCTGTTATAATTCCAAATACTTGGCATCCTGCAGACTACTTTAATTATAATAAAAAGGGACACAAGATTAAATACAATATTGCTTCATTATTTACTTTTCTCTTAGGCATTTAATATATTGTCTGTACTTGCCACATTTCCAATGGTGATCTCACAAGCAGATTTTCCTGTCTGAGGATGAGCAGATTATGCATTTATCTAATCTGATAAGCTCAGTTTCACTTGTACTTAAACTGAACTGCATTTTGTCTTTTGTTTTGCTTTTTTAGGCTTCAATTTCCTCAATAACAAATTTGTACTAGTGTGTGATACATGAAAACAAGTTCTCCCTGAATTTTCCTTTCATTTCCCTTCATATGTTCACTCAAACTTAGATGATATATTGAGGAAGTACATATGGGAATTACACAAATGATCCGTATGGGTCTTTTTTTTTCTTTAATATTTGTATAACAGAATACAAATTGACTTTTTTTTAAGATAATACTTATTAAACATCATTTCATGCCTTGCAGTTTCAGGTCAGCAAGATCTATATCATGTGTATAACACTTTCAACATACTTGAAGTGCTTTTCCTATTAGAATATGAAAATGCAGTTTCATTTATCACTGTTCCACTTTTTATTGTGGAATAGTTCCACCATAAATGTTCCACTATTTATTGACTTATTCTGTGCACCCTTTCATAGCATGATAACTAAATTATTTGAGAAGGGTTTCTTTAGTGGGATTAAGAAGAGGAGTAACAGGATGGAACACCTGCAGAGATGTGGATTTACTGAACCGTGATCACAGGGTATTAATAAAATAGAAAAAAAATGCTTGTCAGGAAAATGGTTTTCAGAACTTATTATCCAATGGCCACTGTTATAAACAGAGACAAAATCACACTTACAGCTCTTGGTTTCAGCAGGAGTAACAGCAGAGAGCTCATGCAAAGGGCTCAGTTTTCATGGCAGTGCCACTTTCACAAGAACTGCCCCATTTTCCTGATTCTCTTCTGCCCTCAGAGTTGCACTGATACAGTCTACCCTGGGAACCAGACTGGGGAATTGATTTGGAGTAAAATGGTTTTCACTGCTGAGTTATTTTAAACTTTGGTTATTTCTCTGATATCGTCTGTTTGTTCTCTTGGGATGTTTGAGAGGAAAACACGAGGGCAGGAGTGTCAGTAGCCGTGCTTTGAGCTGGCCATATTGCTTCCATTTGTTTTATAGCTGAGAAAACAAGGCTTGTCTAGCTGTGTTCTGACTCTTGTCTTTACACTTTGGTCTTAAATTTTTATTAGAGAAGGAAGGTGAATTGTTTCCTCAGAAATTATTTAAGTTGAGAAAATTGTAGGTTGCCTTGAAGCAGGCCTGAAGTCTTCCTTCAGCTCATATGAGGGAAAATAGAATTCTTTCAAATTTCATTACTTATAATTGAATCTAAGCTAAAAATGAGGGTTTTGCAGGAACCAGCATACTAACCAACCCATCTGGCTTCCTCAGAATGTATGTGCAAGTGTTTAATGAAAACTTCAGATGCATTTTTTTTAGGTAAGAAAAAAAAATCCATTGAACAAACCTTAACTATGTAAAAAAGCGTTGGTTTGAAAAATGTTCTTTTCAAGAGTACCTTTCAAATAGTTCTAAATTAAAAACAAAAATAGCAAAAAAATTACAAAATATTAGGTCTGTCTTTAAAGTTAGCAAAGCAGCAAATGAATTCAAATTAAACAGTGAAGCCTCTAGACAAAGGGGAATTTTCTCATTCAGTCTCTAACAGTTTTGGATTAAATCTGACAGTGGAACTGTGATAACTCACCAAGTTTGATCACTGAATAAAATATTTCTCTGAAGAAGTGGTTTTACATTGGTAAGCATTTTTGGCTGATCTGCTCTGTTAGAGGCATTTTCTTGCTGTTGTCCTTGCAATCTTTGATTTCCTTTTCTTAGGACAAAATTGTGCAAGTATTAAGAATTGTTTGTAGATAAAACTCACTTTTTCTGTTACTTCAGTGTATGAAATGTGCAGTTTAGTAAACCTCTCTTGTTGCCATATACACAAAGGTGACACCTGACTTGAATTACAGGGTAAAGGAGGGCCATTATCAGATCTTAGCAGACAGGTGGAGTTAATGAATACCAAGGAGCATTTTGAAAGCTTAAAATGTTTCTGATATCCCTCACATTCTAGTGCCGTATGCAAGATCATAGAGGAGAAAGTATTTTAGGATGGGACAAGCAATGGGGCTTGATTAAAAAAAAATCTGAATAGTGGTTGAATGACTTTTATCCTGTTAAAAGAAAGGTAATGCAGAGGTTCTGGCAGCCTCTTAAGTGTTCTGTACACCCACAATGCACATTTCCACATTTTGCAAGAGAAACCTTTCCTCAAGTTCCAAATGATAAGGAATTGTAATGCTCTGTGGATCTCACTTTGGAGCTCTCTGCATGTCCTCAGCTGCTGTAACAGATAAGTGCTCTTGGTGCACTTGTGTAATATACAGTGTTTCATGGGAGGAAGGAAAGGATTAGAACTCCACTGGTAGTGTTATGGAATCATGCCAGCTGCTCTCAAGGTGCTGTGTTTCTTCTGTGCTGATCATGTGCCTCTGCAACATCTCTAAACACTTTTTCACAGCAGAAAAAGTGCCCACTTTACAGATAAAAGTGAGCTGTTACATCAATATAGACTTGTCATTTCCTTTTCCCCACTTGAACATTTTAGGTTTTAGTTTTAAGTTTTCCCTGCCTCCATAAGTAGCCTTAAAACCTGAAAGAAGTCAAATATGTTTTGATAAATCCTGAAATTTAGGTTAAAATAGGTAATTGAAGTATTTTAGAATATTTTGAAATTTTTAACAGATAAATGTGTAAGCAATTCTTAAAATTCCTGATGGTCATCATATCTGTGGCTCATTGAGATGATTTTTATCCTATGTCTTAATTTTAAAGGATTTTTTTTTTAATCTCTTTTTTCTTTTAACTATGCTTGATGAAACAGAGAGGGAGAAATTTCCTGTTATTAAGAAATTCCAAGGGAAGTGGAAAAGGGAAAAACGAAGGGTGGGCATTTAGTTTGATGTGTGGAAATCCATGTATATACACTATACACAAGTGTTGGGGTATCCACTTGCTTCAAGCTGTGAAAGAACGTATTTTGTTCCCTGTGTGTTTTCCTAGATGATGCATTCCTGGTGGTCATCATTGAGGTCACTGTTCCAAGTCTGATGTGCTGGAGCAAGTGGATTCAATTTTTCAGAAAGGTCCTCTTCAGAACCTTAAGATAATGTGTCATTTTTTCATCTGTTTCAGGTCAGTAGCCTCTCTCTGGAGGATTTAAATGCATTTCTGGCACTCATTCTCTGCCTCAAAGGGAAATCAGCAGCTCAACTGACAGGCCTGCAGGTATGCACTGGAATAATTATGTAGCATGAAATACTCATGGAAACATTGTGATGAAAGTTTTGGGGATAAACCATTCTACATTAGGTTTTTTACAGACACAGGAGCTAAGGGTCAGGGTAACTATGTAGGCTTTTCATGTGCTATACTTTGTGTGAATACTGTTTGCTAATCACACAAAAAATTAAAATGGAAGGGACATTTTGTAGTGGTTGGAGTCCTAGAGTGAGCAAATTATTCTCAGATTTCTTCCTTCCTTAGCTTCCAACTTCCATGTGATGAAAAATTGGTAACGTGAATCCTGTCACACAACGTTGCTTCATTTTTTTCTACTGAGGAGGATTTTGGTTTTGGATGTGAGTTGTATGAAAATCTCTAGATTAAATTAAATTTTGGTATTACTGCTTGAGGGAGAATATAAACAGTATAAACCTAACCAGAAAAAAGTTACCTAATGTTACTCATTGCAGTGAAAACCATTTGGATTACACTGTTCTGTAAATATTTGGAAGTTCTTTTAAATATTTTATATATACTTCATCCAAATCTGGTTTTTTCCTTTCTTATCTTCTGCCTTTCTACATGTGGATTGAAGATTCCTAGAAGGTTATTGCAGAAGAACCATTTAAAAAATTCTTCCTGCACATGAAATTATGCAAGAATATTTTTAATTTCATAGCCTGAAATTTCAATCAAACTATTAGCAATGTGTAGCACAGACTCCACATGTCAATTGCTATTTGAGTTGTGAGTTTACATAAAAGTAAGTGGGAAAGGGTTAGAACCTTAACATATCTTCATTCTGTAAATCTTGCTTGTATTTCCAATAAATTCCCTGTTTCTTTGAACAGTCCATGAGAGAATTTTGAAAGTACTTTTTTGTTGATCTCAAGGTTACACTCTTGTTACTATCCATTTGTTTCTAGTGCACGAGTACCAAAATAACAAAACCAGTGTGATCCCAGTTTCATTATTAGATTCCTTATAGCAGATGAAGTCCAGGCTCTTACAAGTTTCTTCAAAGTCATCACAAATTTGATTTGTAGCTGACTGTGTAACAAAAAGGAAGCAATGAAATGAAGGCAATATGGAACACAGCAGAAATGTAGGGTTTATTTCTGTCATACATTACTGCACATAGTGCTGCACTCAGCATTGGGAGGATCAGTACTTCAAGTCTGCATGGCAGTCATTCAGCAGCACCATAAGGGAAATCAAGCCCAAGCAGGAAGTGTTGAAACAACTTGTTTATAGATGCATTTACAGGGATTGTTACATAAGTTTCTAAAGTGCTTCTAAGTTTATTCTGCTTGAATTAGAGGCCTTTGTTTGATTCATTTGTGTTGTGGCTCTTTGGAAATACAAATCTGCATCCAAATGCATAACATAAATCAATGTATGCTGCTTATCAGCATTGTGCTGATTGAAAGTTGTTCACAAGATTTTGTTATTTGCCCACAAAACTTATGGCAGATAGCTGTGCACACAGAAGTGCAGGAAGTGTGAAGCTGGTCTTACACTGTGTCGTGTACCACTTTATGAAGTGGACAGAATGTTGTTGGAATTGACTACTGATGCCGTTGCCAACTCCTTTCCAAAGTTATGTCACTCTGCTGCTTATATAAGCACTTCATGCACTGTCCCACAATGCCTTCTGCTGTGCTAGAAACCAGCACAACAAGATCCATGTAACATAGCTGAAATTTTTTGTATCAAACCACTTTGTAGATCAGCTCCTTGTCTTGCTCTGTTAAAATTCACGGTAGTGCCTTTGGTAATAGTTTGAGCCAGAATGAATCCTTCTGAAGGGAATAGTGAGGAAAGATTTTGGTCTCTTTCTCTTCTGAGATTGTGAATACATAAATAAGAGTTTCAAAACTTTCCCTCATTGCCTTCAAATTAACCTCTTTTCCTGTGTTTTGATGACCTGAATTTCCCTGTGGAAAAAAGTTGCTGTTTCTCAGTTGTATGTGTATCTGTGTCGTGTCAAGCTGTATCAAGAATAGAGAACTTAATGATGTCCTGGGAATTCTCTCTTGAAAGGGCAGGGCACTAAATAAATAGAATATCTTATACAAATATTCTAAGAATAATGATCAGTAAAGCTAGCTTTCTGAGAATTACCATTCAAGCATCTAATTTTCAAGATCCCATCTCAGAATAGCTTAAACAGTTTTTACTCATTACTGTATTTATTTAGTCATTTTACAAACTTGAGTTCTGCTCAATAGAGTTATTGAGTTGTTTTAATAGTGAATAATGTTTCAGTAGGTGTTTAACAGCTTAATTTTCTAGATATTTGTGTTTAAAATCAAAGGATCCAAGTGCAATGAATTACACTAACATGTAGTTGATTAATAAATGGAGTTTACAGTAAGAAAACAGGAATAGAGTTTAATCTGTTTACAATTGTTTTTGTTCTCCACTGAAAAGTTAAAAGCAATTCCTAGAAACAGCTAAATCACAGAGCTTCCAAAGAAAATGGTAAAATTTGTCAGCATCTGCAAAATTTTATGAAAATATTTTCTTATTTGCCATTTTGGACTTAACACTATAGTATATTTAAATGTAGAAAAAATGTTTATTTCTTGTAAGTATTTCTTTGAAGAACACTAATTTGATTTTTAAAAAAAAAATCTCTTTCTGTAAAGAAGTCAATTAGCAAATATGTTTTAGCAGAATACTTAACTTCCAATATGAAATATGAGAGGAGATATAAATAAAGCCCGTTATGATGGAATGAAGAGAGCATTTCAGCCTTCACTTTCAAATCTACTTTCTAATATGCTGTCCATATTTCATAGTTAATGAGATCCATAAACCCACAAGTCTATGAAACAGAAAAGTCTATGGTTTGAATAAAGTGGGTTCAAGCCATAAAAAATATAGTTTATCTCATGCTGAAAGAAAGTGGGCTGTGAACATGTAACAACACTGTACATTAAATATTACTGTCTGAGAATAACATAATGTTTATACATGAAGATTTGATTATTTTTCAAGATCGATGGTTTCAAAATACCAAAATGTGCACATGATAAAAAAGACATTTTTCTGGTAGGATTTTTTTCTAGTTTTCTTGTGGTGCCCCCCTTATATGGTAGATTAGCATTCTACTTTGCCCAAGCCTCCCATAGAGCTTATACATAAGGTCAGAATTAAATTTTGGACCCCAGGTTGTCTAGTTCCCTTCTTTCTATTTAAATCTGGTGTGTGGTGTTGGCAAAAAGCCCAGGGAGCCATCAGTCTAACTTGGAGGCCATTGCAGAGAAAAAGAGGCACCAGCAGTTGTGCTTCCAGACTCATTTCTTACATTGTGCTGGCCCTGGTTGTTTACAAGTACAATTACAATAATGCATGTAAAATACTGCCCAAACATGAAAAACTATAATGACTTATAAACACAATTACATTTTTTCTAAGATTTCACTAAGTATGTGACAATATGAAAAAATTGTGTTGGAAGTGTAAAGCTGTGAATCACATCTTTTCTGAAAGTTGTGACCCAAGATGAGATGGAAAAATTTGGTTAAAAAGGAAATAAAAACTGGAAATTGATAGATTATTTTTGGGTCCTGATAAATTATTTTAGCAGTGAAATGTATGTCAGAAAAAGTTAATAGCAGGTGTGTGGGTAGACATACACATCACTGCTGGAACTCAGGGCATTTGCAAACCCTTGATAGCTTTGCTTTAAAATGTCCATTTTGCCAGAATATCTTCTTAAGAGTAATAACGTCTTTTATACCACTTGTAAAAGGAGCAGTTTGGCTGTGTATGAGGTATAAGACAGTCAAGCACTGAAATATATTTCTTCAATTTTTTAAGAGTTTTTTGTTATTTAAAATTGTTACCGATGTGAAATGAGCACAATCATTTTAGATTAAAGTAGCAAAGAGTCTCTGAAACCTGATTGCAAATGAACTTTCACACAATATGTATTAGGTATTATTTAATTTACATTTGGAATAATAATAATAAGTACTCAGCAAACTAGGTAACTAGCTTGAAAGCTGGAAATAGCTTTAGCAAGAATTTTAGTTGCACAGAACTTTTGAGTATTTTTCATTGTGCAGCGTCATGGAATCAAAATTGCCTTGATTTACCTTGGTATTATACCAATATTACACAAGGTACTTTTCTCTGAATATTTTCCTGAGGGATACCTGGCCACATCCATGTAAAATAGCACTATGTTTTAGAGTCATAAGTAGTAGTGTGGATGTCTTGGTTGGGATCCCTCAGATTTAAAGGATGTTGCTACATCTATTCTGTGTTTTTTCTTCTGTGCCATGCAGATTAAAAGACATAAATAATACCCAGATTCTGAACACTCAATAATTTCAATCTCCTGATATGTTGGCAAGCCAGGTATGTTTGTCTGACACCATTATGTGTGATATTTTTCAAACAGACCCCAAACAGCCTTTGTGAGTTATCTGTATTTGTCAGAATATGATTATTTTAAAAAATCCTTTTTCCCCCCAGGCAGTGTATGTTTATTGTGTCTGTGTGACTGTTTCCTAATTAATATTTGCTTGAAGTCTAATTGGATTGAGTAAAACATAAAATGCAAGTAAGAATATTGTAAAGATCTTAGGGATAAACCCTTCTTATATACAAAGGACCTGCTTCTGTAATGTATATTAGTAGTAACTAAAATGGAATTTGAGTGCATTCCCAGATGCTTTGCTGAATCAGGGTTCATATTCCCTCAAAATTTGCATCTGTCAAAAGTGTTCTAAAAATTATAGGCAGGATTGTAACTGGCAGGTGGTGGAGAGCAGGGGGGATTGAGGTGATTTGCTGATCTTGGCGTTGCTCCCCAGCCCATTTTCTCATCTGCGGTCTTTAGGTTTCCTCAGCATTCTGGGCTAATCTGGAACTAAAGTGCAGCAGTATGGGATGTGATTTCAAGTTGGTATTGGTTCAATCCCTGTTCAAAATTAGAAATATTCTTCTCATATACTCAAGATCTTAAATGAACCAGTCCAAATAGAACA